CCAAACCCCAAACCCAACCCCAACCCCAACCCCAAACCCCAAACCCAAACCCAAACCTTAAGGGTATAACACACAGTTATAAAAACATTGGTTTCACTCAATTTCTGTAATCTTCATGTTTATTTTAATAAGTAAAAAGTTAATTATATAATTACCTACATACAATTTAAGATAGAGTTTAACTTATTAATTGAGCTAATTTGTTAATTAAAAGATTTCTTCATATTTTCATTTTTATATTAAATGCACCAGAATTCATAAGATTAATTTTAATTATGGTGCTAAAATCTGCCCACCATACAAAGAAGCATTGAATATTATGGAATAATTAAATGAGCTCAAAGACTTTTCACCTCTACCAGTTTTTATTTAATGTAGTACAATCATCCTGATATAATAAATATTTTAATTATATGGATGAATGAAAGAAGAATAATTCTTCCAATCAAATCAATATTCATAATTTCAAAGCACGTAGTTCGTAATTGATTTTCATTTCACTTGCACAATCACATTAAAATTGAAGCTCTTTGAAAGTTTCCAATTATGAATGCTTAAAGTTTTCAAATTTGGGAGTTTCTAATTCTCTTTTGATATTCACATTAAAAACTAAGGCAATGATTGACTCTTGTTATATTTCTAGCTGTTTTGGCGATAGGAATTTGGGCCTCGAGATCTACTAGTGATTAAGACTTTCCTATTCTACATATTAAATTTATAATAGTATAGAAAATCTTTCAATTTAATAATAATTCCCACTTTATAAAAAAATGTAGGATAGTTATTAGGTATTAATAAAATTAATATATTTAAAATTCAAATAACAACATTAGAATTGCTGCTAAACATTCGAGGAATTGAAATATTCCATTTCGAAGTGGGCCATAATCTAAATAATTTGTAATATATTTGGATTCAAAAGTAATTTAGCTATATTGAATTTTCGATTTCTCAAATCTGGTCGCTCATTAGGTTAAATTCAAACTTGAAATTAATTAGTATTTGCAATTTTGTGGATGTAAATCAGCTTTATCCATAAAATAAGGGAGTTAAGGAAATAATTGAACAATTGATTTTGCTTATAAGGATAATACATTGATAAAAATAAAGGTTATAAATATGTTAAATAAGATATACATTGATTTCTCAAAGTAGTAGATGAAAGAAGTACTGATTTCATTATTTTTTTTTGATGTAACTTAAAATCTTGTAAATTTTATTAAATTATGATAATGATTCCTTGTTGAGTTTTAACAGGGTAATTTAACTAAATCACAGTTGAATCAAATCTGCTCTTCTATTCATAGATAAGATAAATACTTGATTAATAAATAAAACTTAATATCAAATATTATAAATTCAAAATATTTTAACAATATTTTAAATGAATTACTAAAATGAGAAGAATGAAGATTTTTATAGCATTTTAGCTCCTTTAAAAGTTTTTAATGAATCAGTCTTCCCTGTTCTCATTAAAATATTCAAAAGAGATAAAATTTAAGACTGTTTAGGATTTCTCTCAAAAGTTCAATATCAATGCCAAACCCAATTGGAAATATTTGAGGTCGAAAATTTTTTACTTGTTGATAAGGGGTAGATTCAAAATTTTGAAAATGCTGATATTAAGAAAATAATTACAATTCTAAAAATAATTAAAGATCATGAGTTTAATGACCAGAATTACTCAATAAGAAAATATTAAAAAATTAAATAAGATCTAATTATGAAAATATCTTGGGATAAGAGGATCATAGAATTTTTAAAATTTTTAGTTCATCTTACGTCCTTAGATGAAAGTTATATTTCTTGTGGATCGAATTCTCTTCATTTATTAGTTGAGATGAAGGTTGATTTGAAGAGACAATCTTTGGAAAATATTAAAATTAAAAACACTTCACTTTTAGGAGCGAATTTTTTCAAATGTAATTTAAGCGGATCTGAATTTGACAACGTCATTATAAGTGGGATGAATTTAAATGGTGCTAAATTATTTAATTGTAAATGGAAGAATTTAGGAAGTAATGAGGGAGTGGAGTTAAATGGTCATGAAGAAAGTGTTAATTAAGTATGCTTTTCTCCAGATGGTCATTCATTAGTTTCAAGTAGTGATGATAATTTCATTCGTTTTTGGGATGTTAGAACAGGGAAAATTCATTTTGTTATTTAAGGAATGAGCGAAGTAAAATCAGTCTGCTTCTCACAAAATGGGAATACATTAGCTTCTAGCAGCGATGAATTTGTGTATTTATGGAATCTTAAAAAAAGGAAGTAGATTTCTAAATTGATTGGTTATAAAGGTGAGGTAAAATCAGTCTGTTTCTCTCCTGATGGTATTATATTAGCATCTTGCGGTGACAATAAATCTATTCTATTATGGAATGTTAAGACAAGAAAATAAAAAGCCAAATTCCATGGGCATACTAGTTGCGTTAATGCAATCTGTTTTTCTCCTGATAGTACTACATTAGCTTCTGGTGGTGACGATAAGTCTATCCGTTTATGGAACGTTAAGACAGGATAATAAAAAGTAAAATTACATGGTTACAATAATTGTGTTTATTCCATCTCCTTCTCTCCTGATGGTACAACATTAGCATCTGTTGGTAGTGATAACTCTATCCGATTATGGGATGTTAAGACAGGTTATTAAACAGGTGAGCTAGATGGCTATAATAGTTCAATAAATTAGATCTGTTTCTCTCCTGATGGTACTATATTAGCATTTGGAGGTGTTGATAATTCTATCAGTTTATTGGAAATTATGGCAGGAAAATAACTAGCCAAATTAGATGGTCATAATAATGCTATAAGTTCAGTTTGTTTCTCTCCTGATGGTACTACATTAGCATCTGGTAGTTTAGATTAATCTATCCATTTATGGGATGTTAAGGCGGCATAATAAGAAGCCAATATAGATGGTCATACTGGTGGTGTTAATTCAGTCTGTTTCTCTTCTGACGGCACTATATTAGCATCTGGTAGTTCAGATATGTCTATTCGCTTATGGAATGTTAAGAAAGGATATTAAAAAGCAAAATTAGATGGTCATCTAAATAATGTCTAGTCAGTCTGTTTCTCTCCTGATTAAAATACATTAGCATCTTGTGGTTCTGATTACTCTATTCGCTTATGGGATGTTACAATTGGATAGCAAAAAGCAAAATTAGATGGCCATACTGATGCTGTCAGTTCAGTTTGCTTCTCACCGGACGGTACTACATTAGCATCTGGAAGTTATGATTAATCTATTCGTTTATGGGATTTTAAGACAGGATATGAAAAAGCTAAATTGGAGTATAATAAAGGTTATGTTTATTCAGTCTGTTTCTCTCCTGATGGTACTATATTAACCTCTAGTGGTAGTGACAACTCTATATATTTATGGGAAGCAAACACAGGAATACAAAAAGCAAAATTAGACGGTCATTATAAAGGAATTCTTTCAGTGTGTTTCTCTCCTGATGGTAATTTATTAGCATCTGGTAGTTCAGATAAGTCTATCCGTTTATGGGATGTTAAGACAGGATAATAAAAAGCCATATTTGATGGTCATACTAAGCAAGTTCTCTCAGTATGTTTCTCTCCTGATGGTAATATATTAGCATCTGGTGGCTATGATAACTCTATCCGTTTATGGGATATTAAAACGGGCTAGTAAAAAGCCTAATTAGAGGGTCATAGTAAAAGTGTTCGATCTGTCTGTTTCTCTCCTGATGGTACTACATTAGCATCTGGTAGTGATGATTAATGTCTCCGTTTATGGGATGTTGTGACAGAAAACTAATAAGACAAATTAAAGGGTCATTGTGATAGAATTTGGCCAGTCTATTTCTCTCCTGATGGTAATATATTAGCATATAGTAATTATGATTTTTCAATTTGTGTATGGGATGTAAAGACGGGATAATAAAAAACAAAATTAGATGGTCATACAAGTAACGTCTGCTCAATCTGCTTCTCTCCTGATTGCAATACATTAGCATCTGGGAGTGTTTAGGATTCTATCTTTTTATGGGATTTGTAATCTGGGAAGAGATTCCTCCAATCAGATAATTGTTTTAAAGATATTCTAGTGTAACTCCCATCATTTAAAAATATTATTCTTCCAGAGAGTAGTATTTATTAATTCATCTTTAGCTGCCTCTAATGTTTCAATTCTTCGAATATCACAGAGTCAGACATTAGAAACCTAAGGAGCATTAATATTGAAAGGAGAATTTGTAAATTCTCAAGGAGCTGATTTACTATAATTATTCAAAGCTAAAGGAAGTTGCATTTTACAAAGCCAAGATATATTACAAGAAAAACACAAATGATCATCATTACACAAAAAAACATTTATTATCCCAACAATTTAAATGAGCTATTAAATATTAATATTGCCAATTTAGAGTTCTTTAATCTTAATTATCTAATTAACATATTCTAAATTGTCATTCTATGTTTGATATATCAGATTTCACTCAATTGATGCAAAACCTTCAACAGCCTAATTTAAAGAAAAAGTCCAAAAGTAAAATAATGAAACAGCGTCTAAAAGATAAAAATGATGTAATTAAAATAATCTTTACGAAATTTTAGAATTATTTATGTGTGCTAAATTGAATTAATATATAAATCACAAGAATTTGATTTTTTGGATGATAATATTTGTTTATCAACTTGTGTTCTATGAATCAAAGAATAAATTTCAGTTAGCCAAATAATACAAAAAAATACAAATAGTTTTAATTCATTGCCAATGATCTATATCCAATTATATAAATGCTCGATTGACTTATATAAGCAATATAATTGTAATAATACATGGAAGTATTTGACAAAATAAAGCATCAAAAAAGCTTATTCAATTTGAGCGAACTCAAAATATAGTGTTGAAAATATAAGGAAATGAAGGATAATATTATGCTGATGATTTTGAGGCATAATAAATGAAATCGCATAGTACTAGAAAAGCTAAATTAAATGATATTGTTTTTGGAAAATAAAAATGATCCAACAGCAAGAAACAATAAAAGTGTCAATAATTACTTAGTTGGAGTAAATTGAAATTATATCAAAACTTTTCTAATACAAACAAGTGAGCTACAAGTTGTAATACTACTGTATCTCATTCTTAAAATCATTTAAGGCTGTATGAGGGTTTTAACAATATTTATAATACCTAATACTAATCTAGTTTAACTCATTTAAATCATAAGGATTATTCTTTAATGTTTATTCAATAAAATTAAATCAATTTATTGGATTCCCTCATTCTGTTTAGAGCAATTATATTCAATTGCTAATTAATTAGATTACTTTGGTAATAAAGATATGTAATTTTATCTACTTCTGGAAATCTTTATTAAAGACTTTCCTCAATAAAGGATAAAATTCAGATTATATTGAAATTCTCAGAGTTATACTAATTGGAAATTGAACTATAAAAATTATACAAAAATTCTTTACTTTTATTAAATGTGTGAAATTATCGATTTCCTTCCCAATCAATAAAAGCATCATTTTATCCAAAAATCAAGGATTAATTTGATCTGAATGTAATATTGGCATTTTGAAATCCTATGTGATTCTTGTAGATAATTAAATGGTGCAAAAACAATAAACATTTTTAATTTATGTTAATTGTAATTTAAACTTGATAAATAAATTATTCTGTGATTTAATTAAATTCTATCCAATTAGAAGTATTAAAAAATTGTATGAACTCAGCTTGCTTATCTATTAATAAATTAATGGACTGACTGAAATATGAATTTGATCGGTGATCTGAAAATAACTTAAGTTAACATTTATAATACTTCTTAATACATTAGTGGTCATAATTTAGACTCTATTGATGAAAAAGCTTGTATATATATCATTTTTCATAAAGATTAGAAGTTTGATTAATGCTAACAGTAGCTAATTCAAAAACTGGCTATTTGAGAATTTGCATTTAAGAAAATTTAATCAAACAATTAGCAGAATTCTTACATTTCAATTTAGAATTAGTCCTTTAAGAATGAAATTCTTAGAAAATTTCTTTTTTTTCCGGCTACTAGGATTAGTGCCTTATATATTCCATTTCCATTTCTTAGTAAATCTTGATTCTTCTACACGAATAAAAATATAATCTGAATGTTTGATAATAATAATGTATTTATCAAACTTCTTTTCAAATTGATATTTTGGAAATTTCATTTTAACTACTTCCTAATTGAAAGGTTGTTAAAGCATTTAAAAAACAATATTTTTGTTAATTCTATTTTAATGGGAAGTGAGAATATTTTTTCTAATTTTTGTAATTTTAATTTATGAATTAATTGAGTGAATTTGATTGCACGCTTTTTCTAATTTTATGATACTCAATAAAATAAACAATCTCTGAACGGATAAAAATTTTTAAAGGTACTTGATTTAGTTTAATTTCATCAACCAATAATTTTAGTCAAAGATGCTAAATAACATGCTTATATTTTACATAATCCTTTTTGGAGTCTCTTCTTCTAAATAATTTAATTGTTCATGTTTTTTTAATGGTCTTCATCCTTTAAATATAGTTCTATCATTTTTTTTAAATTACTATTATTAACATCTTTTGAATTATAAATTTAACAAATTCTAATTTATAACTTATTAAATTTTTGGTTGAATGTTTTCACAAGTTTGATTGAGTTTAATATAATCATCCTCAGCATTTTTAAATATTTTAGGAATAAAGTGTTATATCAATGATTAAAATGCGTTATTTTTTTATCGTTATCATTCAAGCTAAGATTACTTTTCTTTGATTGAGTTAAAATATTTTAAGTCGTACACTAAGGTTTTTCTTCTTCAAACAAAAAATAAACATTTTTTTAAATCAGAAAATTTAATTCTATAAACTGTTGGCAATGTATTCTTTACTTTTCCATCAGCTTGTTTTTCTACTCATTAAAAGTTTTTTTATTATTACACAATTAATACATATCACTTCTCTATTTTAAGTGTTTTAATCTATTTTTAGCTTTTAAATTTATCAATTAATTCATTAGCATAAATATTTTGATGGACAATTATAAATTGTTTTTGAAAGGAATTGCATAGCTGATATTTTATTAAAATTTTTCTCTTTTAAAAATTTTAAGATCGTCCTCATCAAAAGAATCCTCCTCTAATTCAATATAAAATTATAAAAGCTCTAGGATTATGTAATATGTTCTTTGGCTTGCCAACTAATTTTGATTGACTCCATTTAATTTTTGGGCACGTATTGCAAATAGAAAGTCAGATTTTAATAGTTGAAGCCTTACTTTTTTGCTTTAGCTTTTGAGATTTTTTGCTTTAAATAACTTAAATACTTTTATTTTCTAACATGACCATCCAAAGGATAAATGATCAAACAAATTGAAGTAAAGTTTAGTATTATGCGCTTTGGATAATAATAAGGATGACCTTTATAAAGTGATCATTGTTTAAAGCAAATTAAACATTTTATTCTGTCCCTGTAATCTTTTGAAAAATACTGACATATAAGCATAATAATGTTTCAAAATTTTGATACAAAAAATCTAGAAAAGAAAAGTATATAAAGAGAATGATGATGATAATTCATATCAAAATTTATAAAAAAATTAAAGAACACAAGTAACATTTATATAATAATATTAATATATTATATCACTAATTTAAATATTAATTTTTCCTTATATTAAATGAATGATGAGAGTTCATAAAGAATTTAATTGATCCTTCTTAAAATACAATCTATTTTTTAAGTCATAATTATCACTTAATGTCGTTAATTAAATTAGGCAGCTCAAAGAACGTTAATCTTTCTCAAGCTTTCATATTAAGCTTACCCTTAATAGAAGATAAAAAGAATATTCCTAAAACCTCTTCTGAAAATTCTTGAAGGGATTAATTCTTTTTTTAAAATGTATTCTTATCATATACGAATTCAGACTCATTAAATCTCTCAATTCAAAATCATAATTAAGAGAAAGATCGTTTTTAAAAGTGACTTTTATATAAGAAAGAATTCCTTTTGAATCCTACATTTATATTCATTAAACTTATTAATAATAGAATACCTGATACAATTCATAATCTTTAAATTCATAAGTTAAACTGCTAATTGTTTCATAATAAACATTTAAATTTACTCCATCGTTTAAGATATCTTAATATATTTTACAATCCTTCAATTGTAAATATATTTTGAGATGTAAACGGAAAAATTTCAATAATTTCTTGCCTCCAAGTGAGGTGTATAGTCATTTCAAAATACTTGACAAATTAACAAAAAATGTGTTAATTTGATGGTATTTTAAATCAATCCAACAATGATATCTGATTTAAAGATGTTTTTAAATATTTATAAGCAAACACTTTATTCACCATTTTAATCCTGTAATCTTTCAAACTACATTCCTCGAACAATTTATTTTCCCTAACAAACCTTTTCAACTTTCTTAACAAAGCTTAATTTTAGCTTCTATCTATATTCTGAAACATCAACCCATACCAACGATTAATATGTAATCACATGAAATTAGAGATGATGAGATAAAAATTGTAATAACTATTGGAGTTCACAACAGTAACTTGAAACTAATAAAAATACGTCATATCAAGTTATTATCCTGAAATCAAAATGCGATTTTTGATTTAAAATATTAAAAAGGCAATAAAGAAAATGATTTTACATTCCAATTATTAATTAACATTTCGAATGAAAAAAACAGTTCTTGGTAAAAAACATGTTCATGTTGTTTTAATTCCATATTTAACTACTAATATCTCAATAGATTAACAAAGCATAGCTATATTTGATATTCATAATAATTAAGAACTTCGAGAGTTTGTTCTTGACACAATTACTTTGATTCTTACGTAAAAGTCAACTTTTTTTGAGACATAAGGTTTATTTATTTAAATACAGACTTTTCTACACTTTTTTGTTAATACAATACAAAGACTTTTGGTTCATACAATTTACGACGTGATAGAAAAATATTATGATGATTGTTAAAGGCATCCAAGTAGTCATTATAGCGCTCTTGGTTTAGAGGTTTCTTAATTGAATTGGACTTGATTTTGAACCATCACTTGTTTTAATCATTAAATTCATTGATAATAATCAATCCAATGTCTAATATTAATACAAGCACCATTATAAACAATATTAAGAAAGTACACGCAAATTATAATTATATTTTACAATTGGTAAAATAATTACTTGTTTTCCTCTCTTCCTAATCTACATATATCTTAATCATCTCTATTTTAATAAAAATGGTTTTTTTTCTATTTTGGAATCTTATATGCTTCAATTAGGAAAAGCATATTTTTGCTGTAGACATAGTAAAATATTCGTTTATTAGTAAATTATTTTATATGAAAAATGTATGAAATGTAACAAAAATCTTAGGTTTAAATATTGACTATCCAATAGATTACAAATTGGAAAACTGATAGAATTTTAAAGATAATTTTTGGACTACAATCATATCCTAATCTTAATGATAGGATAAAGCAAATGAAATTTAAATAGGTCAAAAAAAAGCCCTAATTGTATAGTCTTTTAAATTTGTATATGTATGTAGATGATGAGAACCATAATCTACTATAAGATATTTTGATTAGATTTCTTTTATCAATCAAAAGTAGTCTAATGTAGATCATGTTGAACATAACCTGAAAATTATGATAAGAGTATATCTAAAATATATTGTAAATTTTAAATTATTAAAAATAATTACTTCTATATGTTTTGGTATGTTTGACAAAAATTTAATTTTATCAAGAAATCATAGCAATAATATGTTGATTCATTGTTTAACATTACAGAGACATCAATAGTTATATTTAAAGATAAATATAAATCTATTTTATGTTTTAGTTCATAGGAACAACTCAACTTATAACATTAATCGAACAATTCAAAAGTATGATTTAATTCATCATATATATAGTAATAATATTCCGAATAACATTTACAACCCCTTTTTGCTGAAAAATTCTATTTAAGAAATCCTTTTTAGAGTTTCCATCTTTATAAAGAAGAAACTATAATTATATCTTTTAAAAAGAGAGAAAATTAATGAAAATTTCAATTAGCTATTTTCTGAATGGATTCAAAAGATTGTATGTACACAATTAGATCAAAATAAACTAAGTTTTAAATATATTGTATCTTAATTGGACAAGATTAAAATTTTTAGCTAATAAAAGAATCGATAATGATCTATATGTTGTTTAATTAGATTATTTAATATTATCAAAACAAGAAATATTCAATTTGTCAATAATTTGTATTTAATATATTGAAGCCAGTTAAAATTGTCAATTATTAGATTTATTGATGATCAATTCTTTATCTAAACTCTAGTAATTTTCTTAAAGATTATATAATTTTGGAAATACTAAGTTAAAATAGGGAAATTATTTCCTAAAATCTCAACTTAAATGCTTAATTATTTTCATCATAGCAACAATAATACATTTTTGATGAAACCAAAAGAAGTTAGTCTATTACAAATTTAGAGGGTATATTATTTTATAAGATTATAATTGACCAAGAAAATTTATTTCCTAACATGTTTAAATGTGTGGTGCAATAAGTGATGATGGTATTTGGCAATTTGGAATAAAATAAATAACTACATATAAATAGATAGTCGATATGAAAAATTTCATTTTTTTTTATTGCAAAATAGTTGTTATGGGACAAAAAAATTTTGAAATTGTTAATTTATCAAGTGTTTTTCCCTTATATTGTTGTTTTATCTAATAAATTTTTCTTGTAAAATCACGCAATGATTTTATAACTAATTCTATATGATTAGATTTTCTAAATCTCTGTTATCTATAAATTTGCCTTTCTTTTCAAAAAAATAACTTAGAATGAGACCCATCTTAGATGCTATTTATTGAAAAGCACAATCTAAGCGTTACTCTTATTAGGTGATATTTCAATATTTAATTATATGATTAATATTACTATAAATCAAATAGGTAGATCGTTCAAATAAATGCTATAAACTACAAACAAATAGTCTTAAACCTATAATTATTCAAAATAGATTACGAAATCAAATTGTATGCTAATCTAATCTAATTTAATAAAATATCTAATATACAATAAATAAATTTAATTGGCCTTCAAATGGATAAAAATATGGAAAATTATTTTGAACTTTCTATAGTATTTCTGTAATTTATTCACTTTATTTCTAGTAGTTTCCTAAAATTCTACTTCCTTTAAATTATAATAATTATCTTAAATCTACAACTACCTTAGTAAAATTCTACTTTCAAGATTAAACCTCCTTTGGTTTCTAAATTGGAATTTGAGGTAATTTGATGATTTGCTATAGCTAAAAATTCACAATAAATACTTATTTTTTGGATGTGCTTTTATTTGAATATTATCCTGGCTTAACTTCCCATAAACTGTTAGACTTATCACCACTACCTGATAATAATGTAGTTCCATCAGGAGAGAAACAAACTGTGTTGACCATATTAGTATGACTATTTAATTTGAGTTTATTATCTGATCTTAACATCCCATAAACGGATATTGTTATCTCTACTACTGGATGCTAATATACTACCATCAAGAGAGAAACAGACTGATTTCACATAATTAGTATGACCTTCTAATTTTGCTTTTTATTATCCTGTCTTAACATCCCATAAACGGATAGACCTATCTCCACTACCAGATGCTAATGTAGACCATCAGGAGAGAAACTAATTGAATTAACATAATATGAATGACCATCTAATTTGACTATTTATTATCCTGTCTTACATCCCATAAACGGATAGAGATCATACGCACCAAATGCTAATGTGGTACCATCAAGTGCGAAACAAGACTTATAAAACATTACTCTGATGACCATCTTATATATTTAATTCATGTATTTTGATTTTCTTCAAATTGCAATTGAACAATTATGCTTAATTTGAGTTCATTCCTCTTATATCAACATTATTAATGGCTGATCGATTAAAATGCATCTAGCAAAATTTCCCTCTGTTAAGATGTTTCTTTAATCCTAATATTCTCGTAGCTTTATTCCCTCAAATCTACCTTCATTTTGACTAATAATTAATAGAATTGGATCCACATTAGATAAATCTTTCAGCAATGGCCGAGACATTTAAAAATTCAATAATCTGTTTATCCTAAGATATTTTTACTATCAAATCCTTGCTCATTTATTCATTTTCTTCTATGAAGAAATTATTATTATTGAAGTCTATTTAAATTATCTTATTGAGATAGTAATTGATATTTCATTTAACTCTCAAGATAACTTATGCAATCTATGGTTTTTCTCTTCCCAAAGTTTCAATATTCACACTAAATACTTACTTATAAAATTTTTTTGATGAAGATGACAAACTATATTAAACCTTTTTTTAAACTATTATAAAAAAATAATTGTTTTTCATTCAATAATTATAGAAGCAAAACAAATAATTAAATATATAGATTTTTAAACACATATAATTCTTAGGGTATTTTTTGCTATTTCTTAATATTTTAAAAAGATATAGTAAATAAATATTGTTGTTATTCTTTGCCAAAATATTTACGATTTCTTAATGTAATTCTTCTTCATATTGAATTGTTTTTAAATATATATTTTTTGCTCTCATAATCAGTCAATAATAAAATTTGAGAAATACTAAAGAAAAACTACAATTCCTCATATTTAAATACGTCAAAAATTTTACTGAATTAGTATTAATTATTTCTTAATTGAGATTTATGTTATTTTATTACAATTTTACTTTTAAATAGTTTTGCGGATCATTGTATTCATCAATTTAGATTTAGTTAGTTTTTTTTTAAATTACACTTATTTTTGGATGTGAGTAGATTAACTGTCTTATTTAATATTATCTGAATTTTTAGATTGAAAGTGTCAAATTGAGTAGAGGGTAAATTCTAGGTTTTATCTTCTATTTTTGTTGAGAATATTTTATAAAGAGCCATATGTATATTGTAATGAATGCGATTTATTTCTTTTATATTAATTAAAGGTAGGCAATAAATCAATATTTTCTTTCCAATATATATTTTTTAATTGTTAAATTTCACTTTAAGCGATTTTTATCTTAGTATTTCTACTATTGAATAGTCCATTTGTTTTTTTTGTATAGCTACCTGCTCGTCGCATTCATAATAAGTTAATGTATTTATAATCTGTATGTTTTATTATTTTAAAGTTACAGGTGGAGCCATCAATACTGCCTTTATATAAAAGAGAGAATAATTTAATATAAGAGAACAACGGTAAAATAATTGCAAAATCTATATATAACAAGTGTGTTTTAATAAAAGTCAATTAGGGAGTATAGCTCAGTAGCAGAGCAGCAGACTGCAGATCTGTAGGTCTCAGGTGCGAACCCTGATGCTCCCTTCTTTTTTATTAAATACAAAAGTTCTAATTATTAATTAATATTAAATTAAAATTTCGCAAACTATTTATTGGAAAATTTTTTAGAATTTCACAGTTAATAGTGGTTTTATACTTTGATGCTTTCATCTTTAATATTTTGTCTTCTTATTGCAGGATTTTCTTGAGTGCTAAATTATGTATTGATGAGACTGCTCTTCCAGACTCCTCTGCGTTTTTCTTGAAAACCCATCCCATTGTAAAGCCTTAATGATAAATGTTTATCGATACTTTTTCGGTAGAGCAAGCTATAGACTTGGCATATGGTGCTGTCAAGGCAGACTCTCACTATTAAATGCAGAAGAATAAACTTATCTGAACCAATATTATTCCTTATCTTTAGGGGTTGATACAGGATAAATAGCCGAGGCTTTAATTGATTGGCTCTTTCGATAATTCCATCTCTCCAACCGTCACCAACTCCATCACTGAATTTTTCCTTTACCTCCAAAATATTTTTTATGGAACAAATGGGATTTTCTAGATCTTCAAAGGCTTCTTAATATTTATTTTTCAATTTATGATTGGAAGGCATTATCATTAGCAAATTGGATCAATAGACATAATACATCCAATTCAAGACTTGAATATAAATAGTGGTCTGATTTCAATGCCCTTAGTTAAACAGGCTTTGTTAGCTCTTAAGAGATCATAGAGTTTTCTTATTAATTCTTAATCGAATTCAACTCTGTTTGGATTTCCTTCTTAAGTTAAACATATTTTAATTATTCTTTATATTATAAGCCTTTAGATATAAAAAGACATCTCCTTTAACTTATCTTCTTGCAAATCAATAAATCTATCTCATTCCCTAAAAATTGATTTTTCCTGTTGAAATATGAACGCAATTATTACAATTAAGCTTAACTTATGTCTTTATCCATTTTGACAACTCTTATCTAAATCAACTTATTTTAAAGTATTAAATCAACTTTTTAATTATATTTCTAACTGAAAATTTCGACCAAAATCACTATCAAATTACCCTTCTTTAATCTGACTGTCTGTAAAAATGTAATTTACAACAATCAAAGTTCGTATTTTTCTTTTCCGTATTTTAAATCGATTTAAAGGTAGTTAAATAAGATAAATTGGTTTGAATAGATTCTTAAAATTCTATAAATTTAAAAATTCTGCTTGATTTTACTTTTCTGTCATTATTTAAAAAACAGAAATTCATTAAATATAGTACATCTATTATTTAAATGCTCCTCTTTTTTTATTGATGATGGTTCTCTTTTTTTTTAAACCTAAGGATAGATTCCTTATAAATAACTCTTTTACTTCCACCTTTAAATCTAATCTTCTATTCAACTGTACACAAAAAACAGATGAAAGTTTTTTTGGGTAAATGAAAATAATTTATATGCACCCATGATTGCTGCATATTTCTTCTGTATTTTTGAGTTGCCATATTCATTCTATATTGTTACTCAATATTCATTTTATAGTATTTTATTTACTTCGAATTCAGTTGTAATTTCCCAATAAGAGTAATAATACATTATTTAAAACTATTTAAAATAATATGAGGGATATTGATATTGAGTGCTTATCAAAAGACACGCTTAAATAAATTATTTGATTTTTGGACTTGATTTATGATATTGCTGCTGATAATTCCAAAAATGGTTATAACATTTACCATCTGTTCTTGAACTTCTAAACAATAAAACAGTTCGGGAAATATTAATTGGGCAAATTCTGATTAAGGATTCTATCGATATACTAGATATCATTATATCACATGTATCCTTCCATACCATCTAGTATCATATTGACCTTGATTACAATTTACAATAAGCCGTGATATTTATTAAGAGAATTCTTGAGAATTTCTCATATATTTTGAAACTTTTTTTTAATTTCTGAGGGTTTTTCAAAGTCAATTCTATATATATTTCTATTAGCAAGGTGAATAATTTGAGATCGTTTCCTTGTTGTACCATAGTGGAACTTGTTCTCCTAATTGTTTTAAAAGAGAGCAAATGTTTGGACATCGCAATATTTATTCTTGAGTGTGTAGTAGCTACTCACTAAGTTTTATTCATTTGACTAAATAGAATATGAGTTTCTTTCGTAAAAAATTGTTCTACTTAAAAAAATACTAGCTAATCATAAAATGTCCAGCAGTTCACAAAGTGCACAGTCACTATGGAATTATGTTATAACTCTTAGTAATAAATTGGTTAAGAATGGAAGCATCGATAAAAAACATGTGATAGCTTCTGAATATTAGGCAGTAAATCTACAACTGTTTGTAAGTAAAGCACTTTTATTTTTTTTCAAACATCAAAAATCTTTCATTTGATTTTATGTGTCTCCTCTAAAATCTCTAAGGATTATTTAATGATAGATCTTATCATTTTGCCACACTTATCTTCTTGTAGCACGATTGAAAAACGAAAAATATGTTGTGTTAATGATTGAGTCCTCGTTTCCAATAAGCTAAAAGAGTTGCAGTTGATGTTGCTACTTGTTTGTATGAATCACTCATTATAATTTAAGATTCAATACATGCACAACTTTCATCCTTGGATACTCAAACTTTACTTNTTATTTAAATGCTCCTCTTTTTTTATTGATGATGGTTCTCTTTTTTTTTAAACCTAAGGATAGATTCCTTATAAATAACTCTTTTACTTCCACCTTTAAATCTAATCTTCTATTCAACTGTACACAAAAAACAGATGAAAGTTTTTTTGGGTAAATGAAAATAATTTATATGCACCCATGATTGCTGCATATTTCTTCTGTATTTTTGAGTTGCCATATTCATTCTATATTGTTACTCAATATTCATTTTATAGTATTTTATTTACTTCGAATTCAGTTGTAATTTCCCAATAAGAGTAATAATACATTATTTAAAACTATTTAAAATAATATGAGGGATATTGATATTGAGTGCTTATCAAAAGACACGCTTAAATAAATTATTTGATTTTTGGACTTGATTTATGATATTGCTGCTGATAATTCCAAAAATGGTTATAACATTTACCATCTGTTCTTGAACTTCTAAACAATAAAACAGTTCGGGAAATATTAATTGGGCAAATTCTGATTAAGGATTCTATCGATATACTAGATATCATTATATCACATGTATCCTTCCATACCATCTAGTATCATATTGACCTTGATTACAATTTACAATAAGCCGTGATATTTATTAAGAGAATTCTTGAGAATTTCTCATATATTTTGAAACTTTTTTTTAATTTCTGAGGGTTTTTCAAAGTCAATTCTATATATATTTCTATTAGCAAGGTGAATAATTTGAGATCGTTTCCTTGTTGTACCATAGTGGAACTTGTTCTCCTAATTGTTTTAAAAGAGAGCAAATGTTTGGACATCGCAATATTTATTCTTGAGTGTGTAGTAGCTACTCACTAAGTTTTATTCATTTGACTAAATAGAATATGAGTTTCTTTCGTAAAAAATTGTTCTACTTAAAAAAATACTAGCTAATCATAAAATGTCCAGCAGTTCACAAAGTGCACAGTCACTATGGAATTATGTTATAACTCTTAGTAATAAATTGGTTAAGAATGGAAGCATCGATAAAAAACATGTGATAGCTTCTGAATATTAGGCAGTAAATCTACAACTGTTTGTAAGTAAAGCACTTTTATTTTTTTTCAAACATCAAAAATCTTTCATTTGATTTTATGTGTCTCCTCTAAAATCTCTAAGGATTATTTAATGATAGATCTTATCATTTTGCCACACTTATCTTCTTGTAGCACGATTGAAAAACGAAAAATATGTTGTGTTAATGATTGAGTCCTCGTTTCCAATAAGCTAAAAGAGTTGCAGTTGATGTTGCTACTTGTTTGTATGAATCACTCATTATAATTTAAGATTCAATACATGCACAACTTTCATCCTTGGATACTCAAACTTTACTTGCAATAATTAGTATTAGAAGTTTGAAGCTCTTCGTCTAATATATTTTGATTTCAGCTACTTATTATGATTATTTTGAACATCTTAAAGTGATGCACACTTGTTACACTAAACATGTACTATTTATACCAACTATTTTATCAAATGGATGCATGCAGCTAAAAAAAGATCGGCTATAAAAGATTCATATTCATAGCAATATATCAATACGTAGATTATGGTAGCAGAAGATTTAAATTTATTCTTGTGGTAATAATGCATGTTTGTTCTGCTCACTCTCTTGCACTAAATGGGTTGCTTCTAAGAATTGCTGCTAATCATTACAATCTTTGTATTTTAGCTATTAAGTAGTGGTATTTTGCTTATGCTCTCAACAATTTAAAGTATCCTTAATACTCACATATACTGGATTAATTCTAAATTGAATGCTCTCATGATTGTCCTAATTTATTGTCTGTATATTTGACCTAGTGTATCCTCAGATGGTTTCAATATCAATTTACTTTAATACCGCATCAATAAGAAAACAATCAATTCTAAGCTACTATTTATCAACTTCTTTTCCACTTAGCTAACCTTATTAATCTTGTATATCTGAATTTTTGATGGTTCTAATATATAAATATGTATCAGTTAAATAAATGCTAAATGCAATGGATTTAATCTTTTAATGCTGATTCTTGATAGAATTTGCTTACCTTGTAAGAGTCTGCTAAGCTTGTAATCAAGTTTCACATCTATTGAGATACCTTTTTGACTCAGCTCTTTCTTTGGCGACTTGTAAAATTTTCTTGATGTTTTAGACTTTACAAAATCCAGCTCTAAAAAGTTCGTAATGGCAATCCATATTAAATGATCAAAAGGCATGCATACTTAGTCAAATTATTATTAAAAATATTTGATAAGCGAGCAAGTTGAATTGCTGAGGCACTTGATTGTGATGCATGCCTCAATTCATTCTTAGTAGATACACTTACATTAAATGCTTTACAGTATAGAAGTTGTGTTGTTCTGGTGTGCAGGTTAATTAATATAATTTAAAGTAGACACATAAACTATGTAAGCTCAGATGAATATCCTCCAAATTTGTTTCAAATTGAAATTATGTCAATGCATTTATAATAATTAGGTAAGAAGTTTAAAAGAAAAGTTATAGCTTCTAATTTATGTGCCGCTGAAATTCCTCAGCATATATACTGATAAAAGATAATTTGGTTCCTCTTTCCCTGTAATATATTGACATCAACCATCATAAACATATTCCATTTTCATTTTCTTGAAGATTTCAAAGGACTATTTATTTAATTTTCGAGACTTCAAACAGATAGCATGCATCGCTTCTTTGAAACTTCAATAAGATTTATTCTGATGAGTTCAACAGATGGCTGCAAATTATATAGATTGAGCAATACTATGAGGATGAAGCCCACTAAATTTATAATATAATGTAAAATAAAAATGCTTCATTACCAGGATGTGCAGTAGACTGTATCCATGAAACCTGAAATGTAAAAGAGACCTTTAAACATTGAGAATTTTCTTATACTAAGAATCTCAAAAAGATGCCATTCCTATGAATTTTCATCTGTAATGACAGATAAAATGAATGTAAAATTTTCGGATACCCTTATTTATTTTTAAGACAATTCATACAGAAGTTTGCAGAAACGAAGATAGATGGGTTTGAATGCATTATTTTATTTTCATACAATTTTAGCACCTCATAAATGAATTAATTAACTTCTAAGCCCTGCTAAATTTGCTGTACCAGCTATTATTTTAAAAATTTGTCTATATACACCTCTTAAAAATCAAAGTGCTTGCCTTCCTGTTTTACTTCCTAAGTTCCTCTGCTTCTGTCTTACTGTTTCTTAGTATATTTGAATTTCTTTCTTTATTTTACTAGGAGCAATAAAGGACAAAATAATAAGCCAGATAAACTACTTGGTAGTATTACAGCACGAAATTATGTCCCAAATTGCAATTATTAATTCTTAATTTAAATTGGCTTTAAGCTATATATCTAATCTTCATAAAGCAAAAGAAGCAAAGTTATATTCTTGACCTTTCCAAAATTTTAGAGCCATCATTATCAATACCTAAAGCCTACAATGTTGGAATATCAACTATCGCTTATTCCAAGGAATTCATATGAAAAATGCTCCTGGATATTATACTTAGACCACAATTAATTTGAACAACATGCCAGCAATTCAATCAAAATTAGTTGCAGAGAGCTTAGATAGTGATGAGTAAAATTGCTGCACTGTTTAAAGCCAATGTTGTACAGGTGCCATGAAGGCATCACAATCACTTTATTATTACATCAATCTGTCAATTTTGTGCAGCCAAATTTAGATTATTACATCCTGGAATAACTGGAAAATACTCACTAGTTGTATAAACAGAATTTAATTGTAGAAATGGTGCTAAATAATGGAGGATATTATGATGACTCCCTCATCTCACCTGTAATCTTTAAATTCTTCGTTAATATTATTTTCCTTGCTCAAACAATTCCTCAAAAATTCTGAAAGCACGAAGCACGACATAATTCTTTTGCACTTCTGGTTGGTATTTATCTTTTCCGTCATTATTAATGTGTGATATAACACGTGCTTTGAGCACTGCAAATTCATTAACAGTTTGATATTAATTGTATGCAGACTTCAGTTATGTTGTTATTATTACATATATGTTATATAATGTTAAGCCTTCTTCACAATTGTCAGAATCAACCTTAAAATAAATATTGGCATTATTTCTCAGCCTCAGGTCTATTATTAGATCATGGAGTACCTATATAATTAATATTGCATGTATCCAAGAATATGTAGTACAAATTATGAGGAAAAACTCTAAATCTCCTACTAATCAGTTGGGATAAGGTAATTATTGTGTGAATATATTACCACCATCACTCAACTTCATGTTTTTAAACTGAACTTCTTTTTTGAGACGTTTCTTGTAAATCTATTGATATTTACTGTAATAGGTTATTCATGTATGATAATTATGTTGTTGCAATATTTGTAAAGAGATGCATTATATATATAACCTCCTTCAGCTGTCTATGCTGATTCAACTCACAAGAAACTAAAGCTTATCAATATTATTAGAAATGGAAGTTTTCAGGAACAAAATAATAATTGAATTAAGTGAAGAACCTAAAAGATCTAATTACCTGAAAAGAATAATTTTATCATTAGAAAAAAATGTGACTAAATTATAGCCAAGATTGAATTTGAGGAGACTTAGCAATTAAATCTATTAATTAGAATAATTTTAGGGAGTAATATAATGCTTGATAAAACTTAAGACTCGAATTTAGTGATAAATATCAGTTGATATAACTGTTTCGATATTGAAGATATGCTGTAAAATCTCTTATGTAGCTATTTAATTGAAATAGTGAGTCTGAAATTTAGACACTGATCCTGAACCTCAAGATTTGTATTTTTGATACAGTTTTTAAATAGTTTGATATTATTTATAATGAGTCAAATATTATGACATGCTAAATAATATGTCTAAAACCATCAGATTTGGATCATGTAATTAGTTTTACATCCAAACGAAACCTTAAAACTTGAAATCAAAGAAAAGAAGATGGCATCTCGAACACATTTCCTTAAAGTCTGTTTGAATTTACCCTCAATTTCAAACTTCGAAGACCGATTTGGCATAAAAGTTTACAGAATTTACAAAAAGAGAAATACTAAGAAACATGAAATCAAATAAATAAGGCAATAGAAGAGATAGTATTCCAAGAATGCAAGCAAAATATCTTGGCAAATCGATTTCCAGTTTTTTCAATTATTCATAATTGCCTTCAAGGATAATTGAGAATCTCTCAATTAAATATTATTATCCTCTGCAAAATTTTCAGATAACTCCCTAATATTCAATTAAACAATACATAACTTCATTCTTATCTTCTTTATTTAGTCGAAGAACTAAGTTTTTTCCAAATACAGCCACCCAAAAAAAAAATCCAATTTTATTTCCCTGTTCACATAAATAATATCACATACCCTTTCATTAATATAAATAAATACTGTTGATAATTTTTTTAGGTTCATTCCATTAACCAATTTTTCACCCAGATGATATAAAAAAAAACTACATTAATTCCACATTAACCTGGAGTTGATCTCAAATATGTGGCATTTGATTCCGTTATTAAATTCTCCCTCAAAAACAACCTAGTTTGATGTATGCTGAAATTAAATAATTGAAAAATTTTATTGATTATAAATTGTTATGGTAATTATGTTATGCGGCCTTCATAATATCATGAAGATTTTGAATAATTTTTGGTTGAGGTGGTGGGGAATCAAAACTGGGTTATTCCCATACTTGTTTTTTCAGATGAAAATTAGTATTTTATAAAATTTATTTGTAGGCTTAAATAATTACTCCTTTCTCTTTTGAAATTTTGCCCTAATATTTTACTAATCCAAATAAACATCTTACACTATACACTCTTATTAGTACGCTCAATAATATTATGAAAAATGTATTTTAATAAATGCTGATAATTCTGCAGGTTAATTCGGAATAGGTATATATAATGAGATCTTTAGGGGAATGTTTAAGGGAGACTTAATAATATCATCACGCATTGTAGTACTGTTTAAAATCTATTGAATTAAATTCATTTAATACAGAATATTGTTTTTATTATGGTAAATTTGGATATAAATTAATTTAGGGGATAGTTTATTACTTTTACATTCAAAAGTTTTTTCAAATCCTTAATGAGATATCAAGAAGCAATCAATGCATATGAGGAGGTTTAAATTAAAGATCCTCATTATTCATAGGCGAGGGCAGGAAAAGGGATAAATTTAACATTAAATAATAAAGGAATATGTTTATGAAAAGTTAAGGAATATATAATAATAATATTTTTAGAAGGATATGATTAAGAATAGATATGTATATAAAAATCATTATCTATCAAAATAAATTCTCTTCTAGGATTATATAGACAAGATATAATATAAGAAATAACATGAGGAATGCTCTAAAGAATTTAGAAAAATAGAAATTTTCAAATATATCAAATGAATCATTAGGAAAAGGCCAATGAATATTTGATTAGGCTTTGACCATAAATCCATAGCATGTGGATTAATTTCTTGTTAGCCTTTCTTTTATGATCTTGACTTTATTATTTTCATGGTATTAGATTACAATTAATTTGATGCCGCATCTACTTTATTCAATTAAGCATATTAGATTATGCCAATCTAATAATACAAAGATGCATTTTAAAGTATTTAGTTTCATAAAAATAGGTTAATATGACCACAATTTAAAATATTAATGAAATCGAATAAGTATTACAATTTAAATATATATAACTCTCACATTTATTTTTTATATCTTAACCTCGTTATAAATTGAATTGAACTTATTATTTCACATTTTTTTTTAATATATAAGGTATAAATTGTGATCAAATTATAAAAATTGTCTTAAAGTCCAAACAAGTGAATAAGGCAGTAAGTTTGAAATTGCTTTTGATCTCCAAATACTAGAAATTTTCTCTAAATTTATTTTGTAAATAATTTGTAAAGTGACTCCAATAGTTAAGAAACTTCTAAATTATTAATTAATCTTATAAAATTTAGTTATAATTTGGTATCTCATACCTTAACAAGAATTTAATTTCTTTAATTTAATATTCAAATAATAAACATTTATTATACTAGCTTGCCATTATTTTTTGTTGCAATTTAAATTTTAAAGTGTAATATAACATTTTAACTTTCACATTTGTATTTTATATTTTTAAGTAGTGTCTATTTTCTTAAAAAGCTACTTCATTTATATATTTTTGTTGTTTTTTTTATTGATTTGCCAAAAACTATGAAACCTTGGTTTGAAAATACTGGTATATTAAATTTTTTGTTCTTAACACTATCTTAATTAACACCTTCTTTGATTTTAATTAATGTTTGAATTGATAATCTTTATATATATTACAAATTCTCTTCTCAAGACTAAAACTATTTTGCTTAAAAACATTAGTAATTGTGATAAATGAAGAATTATTTTAAGAAATAATTAATACCATTAAATAAATAAATATCGAAAACTTTATTGATATTTATAATTATTTTTGAACTTTGATCTCTTTCATCTTTAAGTTTCAGCTTAAGCAAACTGAATTTTATAATTACTATCTTAAAGTAAGATATAGTCTCCTCCAAACATAAAATAAACTGATAGAGTTATCATTCCTGCTATATTTTTACCTAGGACCATATTCATATTTATATATATTTAAATTTATTTAAAATGAAATATATCATAATTTTTGATATCTTTTTGAAATAAGGTGTCATTCTTCTCTTTGATTAAATTTTTTAAAATAAAATTTAATNAGATTACAATTAATTTGATGCCGCATCTACTTTATTCAATTAAGCATATTAGATTATGCCAATCTAATAATACAAAGATGCATTTTAAAGTATTTAGTTTCATAAAAATAGGTTAATATGACCACAATTTAAAATATTAATGAAATCGAATAAGTATTACAATTTAAATATATATAACTCTCACATTTATTTTTTATATCTTAACCTCGTTATAAATTGAATTGAACTTATTATTTCACATTTTTTTTTAATATATAAGGTATAAATTGTGATCAAATTATAAAAATTGTCTTAAAGTCCAAACAAGTGAATAAGGCAGTAAGTTTGAAATTGCTTTTGATCTCCAAATACTAGAAATTTTCTCTAAATTTATTTTGTAAATAATTTGTAAAGTGACTCCAATAGTTAAGAAACTTCTAAATTATTAATTAATCTTATAAAATTTAGTTATAATTTGGTATCTCATACCTTAACAAGAATTTAATTTCTTTAATTTAATATTCAAATAATAAACATTTATTATACTAGCTTGCCATTATTTTTTGTTGCAATTTAAATTTTAAAGTGTAATATAACATTTTAACTTTCACATTTGTATTTTATATTTTTAAGTAGTGTCTATTTTCTTAAAAAGCTACTTCATTTATATATTTTTGTTGTTTTTTTTATTGATTTGCCAAAAACTATGAAACCTTGGTTTGAAAATACTGGTATATTAAATTTTTTGTTCTTAACACTATCTTAATTAACACCTTCTTTGATTTTAATTAATGTTTGAATTGATAATCTTTATATATATTACAAATTCTCTTCTCAAGACTAAAACTATTTTGCTTAAAAACATTAGTAATTGTGATAAATGAAGAATTATTTTAAGAAATAATTAATACCATTAAATAAATAAATATCGAAAACTTTATTGATATTTATAATTATTTTTGAACTTTGATCTCTTTCATCTTTAAGTTTCAGCTTAAGCAAACTGAATTTTATAATTACTATCTTAAAGTAAGATATAGTCTCCTCCAAACATAAAATAAACTGATAGAGTTATCATTCCTGCTATATTTTTACCTAGGACCATATTCATATTTATATATATTTAAATTTATTTAAAATGAAATATATCATAATTTTTGATATCTTTTTGAAATAAGGTGTCATTCTTCTCTTTGATTAAATTTTTTAAAATAAAATTTAATGTTAGAATTTTAATGATTAAAATTAGTTTAACCCAAAATTGTATGTGATGAATTTATTTGGGTTCTATAGAAGTAAAACGTAAATTGAAGTTGTATATTTAAATATTGCTTTTTCAATCTTCTTCTATTCTTGTAAGTTTTCTAAATCAAACTGCCTTTTGATTTGAATAATTATATTAATCTACACCTTAATAATTTATAAATTCTCCTTTAGAATTAATCCTCCTTAAGCTACTAGTTTTGGAGTTTAGGAAATCCGAAGAATAGTAATATTAAAGGAAACTTAATAATAGCATAAATAAATACCAAAAAATTTTTTTTATACATTAGAATATCTTTATACTGATTAACTGAAGGTAATTTTTATTGTTCTGCTTTTAAATTCACAAATAGATTGAGTTAATAATAGATGCTAATATAGTTCCAAGAGAAAAGCAGATTGACAGAACATAGAATTATCAAAACTGCTAGAAGCTAAATCATTGCGATAAGGAAAGAAATATAAATGAATTGATATTGTTACTATGGCCAAGTATTTTTTTTTTATTGTCCTGTCTTAACATCCATAAATAGGATATAATTATCTCTACTACCGCATGCTAGCTGAGCACCATCAGGTGAACAATATCAAGGAGATAATACTAGATTAATATTCTATTTTGGCTTTTTATTATTTCCAATAAATTTAGTGCCTTCGGTAGAGATGCATACCGATGAGATATAGCTACTATGATATTTGAATTTGCTTATTAGCGTTTCGTTTTAACATTCCATAAAGATAACATTATCCAAATTACTAGATGTTATTGTAATACCATGAGGAGAGAATCTAACTGATATGACATGATCATCTTGACCAAATAATTTCGCTTTTTTTGTTATAGTGCCTTGATGTCCCATAAGATGATTAAACACTAAACAATTAGATAACCCAAAGATCATTTATAATGGACAATCCTTAGGATCTTGTATGCTTCATAACAGTTTATACAATAGTGGATCCTCTTGTGATTGTACAAACAAATCATTTTATTTTTGTATTAAAATATCCCTCTAAATTTCTTCCCTTATTAAATGGCAACAAAATTCACCTTTGAGTCTAATTTAATATTTTAAGTTATTATATTAGCCAAAATAAATTCTAATATAAGATATACCTTAGATCATTCAGAGGTGAAAAAGTCCAAAAAATGCTCTTCACATAATAATCAAAAAATAAAGAAAACGGGTTAAATAAAACCTCTTTAAGTACAACTTTAATTGAAAAACTGGCAATTATATAATGATTTTGCGCTTCACCAGAATAGAAAATAGGGATAGTTGTTACTATCATTCCCAACTTTAAAAGAATTGAGGAATACAGAACACTGCAATTGCATCGATATTGTAGACAATTTTATGCTGTCTGCATACTGTTCTTCAGTAAATGTGTAACTTTTAAAATGTAGGCTCAACTTTTAATATATTCTGCAGATATTAATTAAACTATTCTAACATATATTAATTTTGTAATGATTGCTGCTTTACTTACTCACCTATAAAGTTTATGTTTTCAGAGTTGATACATGGAGAAGCTGTTAACCTAAACTGGTCAGTCAATATCTCAAAAATATTTACTTCAAATTAGTGCATCGATTCATCTCCAAATGGCTAATATCAAAATAATCTAACTTGCAATAATTGTGAATTTCAAAGTGCAACAATGAGTTTTTATTTCTACAGTATGGCAATTATATCCTTGATTTCAAAAATATGTGAAGACAGTTTTAGAATTAAGAAAACGAGATGCCATTTGACTAATTTTAAAATTAGTTGTAGTAATTCTTTGATTCCCTTATAATTTCTCTATCTTTTTACCATAATCGCTTTTACAAATTGTAACATTGATCTTAGAGATGGTACATCATTTCTTTATGCTAATTTCTCATCGTTTGATAAAATAAATTCAAAATAATTTTCCTGCACTTAGTTTTTAGTTTAATTCATATATAAATTCTTGCTGAAAACATGGAAAGAGTTGAATTCAAACTAAAATAAATATAGAATATTTTTATGGTCGCTTTTTGGTAGTACGAAATGGCGAAACTTGCTTGGAACTATGCTTCGCTTGTTATACTTTTTTCCAGACTATTTCCTACAAATACTTGAAAATACTACTTTCTATAAATAATTATTACAGAGTTAAATTAGTAATCATTTCAAGGATGGATACTTTTAAATTGAAGATAGAGTAGTATTAAATGCTTAAATAATATAATATGAGAAACTGAAAAATTTGACTGCTAAAGTCATACAATTATCAGTAAATTATATAATTATTTTTGCAACACATCATGTTTCCCAGTTTCAGAATTTTATGCTATTTTCATTTGCTACCTTGCTAAACTATCAGAGTTGTTAACTTTTATAAGCTTGGTCACAAGAATTCCATCAGTTCTAAATTTCCAGTTTGCTTGAGTTGCATCTTCTACTAATAGTAATATAATTTATAATCTAATGGGTTAATCCTAATATTTAACATCTGCATCAATTAATTTTGTAAATATATTTTGGGAATTTTTCCGGTTATATTTTACTCCGGACTATTTCTTTCAAAGAAGTGGAGATGGCTGTAGCCCAAGTTAGACTCTTTGGGACCAATATCTCGCAACTGTAACTGATGTGCCTTAAGTATCAAGTGTCACACCCTCCCATTACATGAGAAGATCAAACAGTTTATCATGCATCTTGAATTTTATTAGTTTAGACTCCTTACATTTAAATGTTTGACTTTAGATTCTGAATATTGCAAATATGTGGACGCTCTTATTCCTGAATCTAATTTCTGAACTACTCCTTGTTTTGATTATGAATTTAGCTGAAATCTAAATATATATATTTAAAATATACTTTCAAACTTAACTTGCTCAAGCAATATAAGAGGAGTGATTGGTTTTATATAGGAGGAAGATTCATGTGGAATACTAAGTTTAATTATTGAGTTAGATGTCTTGATAAGATTGCCAGACTCTTTAGACAGTGACAACTAATGTCTACATTATAGGTATCATCATACATCATATAGAAAACAAAAAGTAGTATGTTGTCTAAAGTTGTACAATTAATTACCTTAATTGCTCTATCTAAACGATATCCGAAGTGATTCATTTCGTAACAATAATTATTACATCCAAAGTGCAATTATAATTATTGAACAAGTAGGGAGCAAAGCTTGCACTACTGGGGACTGCTAAACTGGCACTTCAAATCAATTTTGTTTTTCTTAAATTATTAATAATTCAACATCAAACGACATCAAAGTTCCCTACCCCCCCCCTAAGTAAACATAATGTATTGAGGGAGGATAAAGAGTATACTTTCTCTCAAATAAAGATTTATTGTATGTTCAAAATTTCAGAAGCCTTTTACAGCTTTTATTAGTTATTTGTGCTTAGATGTTTATGATAAAAATATAATATTACTTATACCCTTTGCTGGCACTTTCTCATATATGTAACTTTATTCATTAAGTAAGTAAGCCTACCTTGTTTTATTTCATAATCTTTTTAAACTACAATGGTTAAAGACGTTTAATATTAATTTATAGCTCATCCAATATGTTCGCTTAGTCATTTTTCATGGCTTTTACTCCAGCCACTCCAATTCATACTACAAGAATTTTATGTATTTATCATTTTCCTTTTGAAGGAGAAATACCTGTTCTTTAGAAATCACAGTAAGGTTATATTGGTCTTTGGAATAGAGGGATTTTAAAAAAGGCAAATCATACCTATTTAGAATACCGACCTGTTCATATTGCATTTGTGATTATCATCTGATGATTATGTCTGTATAGAATAAATCAATAATGCCACTATTGTTTCTAGCGATTATAGAGTCTGAATTGGGGTGTTTCTCCAGCTAATATGGACTTGTGCAAGCCCATTATTTTTCTTGTAAGTAGTAATAAGGGCAGTGAATTATATGCTTTTGGTTCATCTTATGTAAGCTATGAATAATTCCAGAGTTTTACAATGTAATTAAATAAAATCCTAAATGCGAAGTATACTTGCACAAAATGTAAAAAGTTGGTTACAATTGCAAAGCAATCAATGTAATAATGAAGTTTCACTTAAATTGAATGTTGGCAGTATTTTGTTGACTCAGAAGATTAAATTTATATACAAACAAGCCTCTTTCAAATATTATTACCAAAAATAATAAATCTATGATCAAACTTTTATAAGAATTTTTCATGAACTAAAATTACAATCTTATGGCGAAGATTATTTGCTTGACCATTCAAAAATGTCACAAGAAAAATGTATTGCTTGTTTAATTTTATTACATTTTCTTGCTTTTAGAATAATATAGGTGCACTTAGCCGTTCAAGTACATGTAAAATAGGGGCACTATATTTCCAGTATGAGCACTACACACTTTTACATTGTACAATCGTTTTTATGATCTATTAATCCCTGCACTTCTTATGCTATTATTCTGATGCGTCTTATTAACTGGATCTTTTCTTTGATCAATCAATACTAGTTCATACTGATAGTGATTCCTGTTAGGAATGTATTATTACTGCTGATTAATGTGTATCTATAGTTGCTGATTTTATTGTCCATTTTTGTATTCTATGTAATGATTAAAGCGCTGCTCAATTTGCCCTTTTTATACTCCTTCAATACTACTCATCGTCAAAGTTAGTATTACTAAACTCCTTCTCTTTATATTTTGCAGGTAACCCTTATTCAAACTTTTGATACTATATTCCATATTAATGGAAATACATGCCTTTCTACATTAATTGCTCCAAATATTATATAGCTTTACTTGATAATAATGTCAATGTAAAAGTTATTTTGATGACACAATGATAACTCACTTTAAAATAAACTTAACCACAGCATATCGTGTACTAGGTAGTATTATTGATTACCTCAATGATGGATCATCATTCATAATGCGAGGTTGTTATAATTCTTATAATACAGTTAGAAGTTACTCATTCTGTATTGATGAATATTCTATTCTTCCATTTATTGTGATACTATTTTAATTGATCATGATACTGATGGTATCTATATCCTTGTGATATTTTTACAACGCGATACACATGATTATATTAACAAGAGTTTAATAGTTATAACTATTTAACAGAAATGGATGGACATTATCAGATTAACTTATCTAACCTGCATTTATTAAAGGGGGATAATCAACTAAAGGACCATAAGTCAATTATGATTCTCTTAAACAAGATTTGACAAGGATCTAGGTGAAAGTATTTTAATCCAAGCAAACCTATTACTAGTATGTTAGATAGCTAGTATTTTCAGAGGAGTTTAGAAAATGTCAAGAAAAAAAGGAAATCTTGGCGGCTGTATCCTTCTAGCCTAATAATGCTGTGGAAAATGTAAAGAACTATGCAAAAATTTGTAGCTTCTGTTGGTTAATGTATGGATGATTGGATAAATTCTACAAAGATTTCATTAACGAATAGGATCTTTTTGCAATTCACCTTGCCATACACTTTTTATTGGTATACTAAGGGAGATAATTTTTATTTATATATTGCCGGATTCTAAAAGTATCTGCTAATGTGTTTAATGCTCAACTCTCTGATAAAGTTCTTTAATAGTTGGCAAGTAGCTGATATCATAAAGAACAACTCTTTATGGGTATTTTTTAGTATATCCAAAACATCTTTTGGAATAATTTTTGATTTAAAGTGTAGATTGCCAAGCCACTGCTAATGAGTGCAAAATAAGCACTCATTAAGCTTGCCATTTGATACCTATCACCAAACACACTGAACTTTGTAAAAAGCGTCAAACTGATCCTAATGAGGGTTCATATAACTAAAGCCTAGCTCCAGACTATCTTCTTCCTAACACGATTATAGTCGAAGTTAGAGTTCTTATGTATTCCATCCTACAATCGAATGTAAAAGAGTTGCAAAGGTCTAGAATTTATTTTTATTTATATTCTATCCCCTTATATTATTGGAGTTGATTAATGAACTTACACTAATTGCTCCCTTGAATACATATCAATCCTACACATAAGAATGCTAAACCTCTTACAGATATTATCCAAAACAGTTTTACAGAAGATTGCAAATCCATGGATACTCTCAATTGCTGATAATTAATTTAAATCAAAGTAAAATCTTAGAATTATTAAAAAGGGATGAAAGAGAAGTGTGTTGGGAGGAATTTGGATTTAGTCTATTAATTAGGTGTTTAAATTTCTCAGTTTTATTTATTTCATCCATAATAAGTAATAAATAGGCTCGATATTTTTAAAAGAACAAGAATTAGTGATAGTATTAGATAATAGTCCAATACATTAGAGCAAATGGATAAAAAATTTATAAATAGTGTTACTCACTTATTTTTTTACAGGTATATTGTCCTGAATTAAAATCTAAATTAAAATCCATAGAATAAGTTTGTAGTTAATTAAAAGGAATGGCTAATAATAGCAATATATTGCAAATAAGTTTATAAACAAAATTCAAAATTTCTTTTATGATTAGACTGAATAAAAGATTGAAAGATAAATACAAGGATCAATTCCCTATTTATAAAAGGCATTTTTAAGTTATAATTATGAATTATTGAAATCTGTATCAATCAACCAATTAATAATTACTGATTGCTGGCAAAAACATTTTACTTCATACTTTGACTATACTTTATTATTTAATTCTAATAACTGATATTATGTTTCATGTTTGCACAAATTAATAGGATATATATAAAGTCTTCATGAAAAAGTAATTCTATAGATTTCTATCTAAATTTTGTATTATGAGTAATAAATTATAATATCCAAGATTGATAACATTTGATTTGCCAATCAAATATTTCATAATTGGTATAAAATGAAGTTTATTATCATGTAATCAAATCTATAGATACTTTGTTGCAGTAATATCAAAAATAACATTCTAGAATTTAATATTATCATAATAATCTACCTATTATTTATACCTTATTTTTTGTTCAATCATAAACATAGATATAAATTACATTGCGTTTCCTATGAAAGATTCTATTATATAATAGTATTAGAATAATTACAAGTGATTGATTTATATTTATTTGGTCCATTAGATGTTTCTATTTTAAATGTCAACTTTTACTATTAAGTATTTTTTTTCTTCTTCTTTAATATTTATTTTTCAAAGGAATTCTTTGATTTTAAATTTTGTTTCTAAATTTTGTTTCTTTCATTTTGATAACTCTACATCTCCTTATAATTCTTACTATTAGATTGATCCCTTCTACGGATTTCCAATACTAATGTGATAACATTCATTTTTAACAAAATATTTGGAGTCTATCCAAACTATAAAGCTGCAACCTCTTACTTCCTCACAGAGAGTAAAATAGTTTAGGAAAGCTGCATGGTATAATTAGTTGTTGTGATTGTTGATGAATTAAGGATTGTGTTCCAAACAAATGAATTAATCGCAAAGATAAAATGGATTTTTGAAATTGCTTTCGCCATCTATTTTTCATCTTTTAAATGATTCTAGCATCTTGCTTCAATACAAATTTTTATTATGCATTCTTAAATCGCATAATGATGATAGTTTATCTACTTCAATAAGGAAACTCTATTGATTATATTTACTAGACATTTAATTTGTGACCTTCTCGATTGACATTTTATTCAATTTATATATCAGATGGTTTAATAAATCTACTCTACCCTTTAAAATTCAATACTCGTTCATTTTGAAAGAACAAATTTAACATCAAAGAAATGAATAACATTTATGCAAAACAAATGACTATTTTAGAATTAATCTATTAATGAAATAATTGAAATATTTACTAGTACATATAACCTCATCAATTTCCTATCCCAGCATATCATAAAACAATAAGGTTTAATACACTACTAAGGAAAATGAGAGGCAAAATATATTTTTATAAAATTTTACCAATAGTAGACTCCTTTACTATTTGCTGTTTGTTAATATTATAATTAATGAAAATTCTTTTAATTATCATAATTTCAGCAAGGTTTTCATAATCCCTTGAAAATGCCGACTGTGATAAAAATGAAGCATAAATGAAATCAATATTAAGAGGGCAATATAAGGATGTAGCATCCTATTTTAATGGAGCACTTCTATCATCTATAAGAGCTAATATTTAATCTCCATCCCAAAATATTGATTGTAGCCCTTTGAGAAATTTAAATTATTTATACGTAACTGGATTAATGGGACATCTTGCTAATTTTGTAGGTGGTTCAATAATTATTGAATTTAGATAAACCTATGAAATTAACAAGATTAAATTTTGGATGTTGGATGATGCTAATAGAATTTACTATATAAAAATTTTTGCAACCGGAGCAGACAGAAAAACAGAAAACTTGTTATATCAGGGCTAAGTACCCTTTGGTGTAAATACATTCAAATTTCAAGATTAATTCATATCAAAATTAAGATTCTACAATTAAAATGGAAATAGTATTAATTAATTTATGTCCATTGTAAAGATTCAAGCATTTTATGAATAATGATAAATTATAAAAATAATAATAATATACAAATTTATTTTTAATTTGTTCAAGAATCAAACTGTCTGTTTAGTATCTATTTATTAAATTAGTTGTTCAATTAATTAGATGTTATCATTTTCATTTTAGATTGCATGACTTTTATTAAATAGTTATATTTATAATTATCTCAGTGCGTTGTTAAATGATAATTTAAGGATCCTTATTTAATAGCTTTAAGTTCAATCTCATTTTCAGGTGTTTGAGGAAATTCGATTTAAAATTAATAGTCAGCAATAATGCGATGACCTGCCCTCAAAATCAGCATCACAAAGTTAATCAGGTTACGAAGGATTAGGTCTGGGAGGCCTTTTAAAAGCAGATAAGAATTCTCAATTCCATAAAATTCTATCTAAAGTTCGTTGCACCCAAAAGTGTTTGTTCTAAATGTAACAGAGATCCATCTTATGGACAGTGATCAATAGTAAGTGGCATTTCTCTTTAAGCTTACTAATTAAACCAGCATCAATAAATAGAACTGGGATCTTCTCTAATTCGCTGTTTAAATGCTTATAGCTCTTAACTTACTAAAACTAAAGCCTCTTTTTAATTCTTCGAATGCTACTTTTTTAACAGAAATAAGGTGACCAGATATACAACTAATTTCTCTTTATAAATCATCTTGATTTACTTTATATTATTGACAGCTATATTAAAGATATCAGCAGATAAATTTATATGAAAGAACACAGCCGAATTTTTGTGTTTCAAAAAAAGTTTAAGATTTTGAGTTAATAAAAAAGGTTAGATAAATACGATCAGAATTATTGAGGGATGTCGGATAGAGTCTAAAAAACTTGATCATAGAATAGCTAATTAATTCCTAAGAATTACTGGTATAGAATTCTGACCGAGTTAGGAGTTTGATATAAATTGGGAGTATAAATAAGAATTAATCTAAACTGTAGCTTGAGATTCAGATTAGATCGATTATTTGATGTGGATTAGAAGTTAATAGAACTATAGAAAGAGGAAAGATCCACAAAATTCGTCAAAAATACAGAAAATATATGATAATGTAGATGATACAACCATATTTTTTTAATTACCGAAATTAAATTGTATGAAAATTTGAATTTCTTTTATAGTCAGTTTTTGTGAAACAAATAACTTTGTTTATTTTTTCATCTAGGTTATTTCTATCACCCAGCCAGATACTGTGTGTTTTGGTCTCCGAAGGAATTTGTAAGATCTATCCTATCTGTATTAAATTTTCTAAGACTTCGAACTATTTTGTGATGCTTTTTTTCCCATTCTATTCATTTTAGCAGAAAAATCAAGATTTCTTTTTTTTCAGAGATTCCAATAAATTTTTTATTGAATCACTTCAAAGTAAAATTTAGTGATTTTTGGCATTCAAATTAGATAAGAAGATTTCAATGGTCCAAAATTCTTTGGGATTATTAAACTCTTTTATTATTCTATAAAACATTTAATTCTCATCAATTAATTTGCTACGATCTTCATTTTTGCCTTCTGATTATCAAAAGGTGAATAAAGAGGCATTTAAAAAGAATACACTATTTCTAAATAGCAAAATTTTCAGATTTATATTTTATAATACTAACCTTTGGAAATATGAAAAATTTAATTTAAATTTAGATAGATTTCAGCTCCTCAAGTTTAAAAACTTATATCAGGTCTATAAGGCTAATTGGAGTTGACTATTTTTTTTTATCAACTATTAAAATAAATTTTTGGCTTTCTCAAATTCTGCCATTATCTAAATCCCTACAATAATATTTATCAAGAAAAATATAAATAAGAATGCAAGATAGTCTTTTAGGATTATAATATCCAATAAAACTAAGGTTCCCACCTATTTATTCAATTACCTATACATTAATTCAAGATTAAAATTGATTATTATTATGTCTTGAAGACTATTAATTTATTAATATATATTGTGCAGTGGATCTAAAAATGCATAAATACTACAGCATAAACTTCATAAATTTTTTTAGCTGCATCAACTGTTTATTCTAAATAATTCTGGATTACGTATTGTGTTATAGAACACCAATACTATATTAACTGTTAATTTTTTCTGACAAGTGTATTATTAAGGCTCTACATATGTGTCATCGAATAAATGCATTAATGAATGATTCCACCTATTGTGCTCCTATTATTTTGGAACGAAACCATTTGCATGACAGCCTTTTTAAAAAGAAGTATGCTACTTATCAAGACGGTTTCTCTAATTCATTAGGAAGAATTAAAAGTTTGGGCTTGAAAATTCATATTCTAGCAGGAGTTTAATTTGTTATTTCTGAAGTAATGGCCTTGGCTTTGAGAAGAAGTATTCAATTCCAACAAGAGGAAACATAATCATCAGAAGATACTGAATTGACCAATTCAATACTTGAAATGGGGGTGTTAAGTTAGTAGCATGGAGCCTGATGTAAAGGAACTTTGAGATAGCATCTTATGTAGATAGGAATCTTCTTAACATAACTTATTATTCTTAATCTCTTTCGCAATCGCCTATGCAATAACTTCTAATATTATTGTATACTATAAGTTCATTTTAGACTTTTAGTGCAGAGTCGATAGTAACGAATGATATGATCGCAGATAACATGGTTAGACTTTTAATCTTCAGTAAATTTCCATAAAATCGGAATTACTCCTAAGCCATAAATAATTGCAAAGATCTGCCAGTTGTTAATTTAGCTACTTAAATTGTAATTGCTATAGAAAATCAACCGCCAAAATAATTATGAGTATTGTGTAATTGTAATGAATACTCATTAAATGTGAAGAATTAACAGATGTTACGTACCTGGTATTCATTTTTTAAATATGAACTTGCAATTATACTTGTTTGACAGATATTGCCAACTGATTAGAAATTAATTTGTGATTTTATAGATCATAATTGATCATCAGATAAGGAGTAGCTAACTGTTATGTTACTTTTAGCAACAAAAGGAGAACTTATTGAACTAATTACTCTACTTGTAATAGAACAGCAAAACATAAAAATTAATGTAATTAATGTGCCGCTTATCAAACTAGTATTACATGATTTATTGTTATTTACATATGCAATGACTTTATGAACAAAAACAAGTATCCCTGGTGGTGGTGCATCTATCATAAAATTTCATCAGTTCTTAGTATTTGTTACAGGCGTCTGAATACAAAATTTGCTTGCAAAGATTCATATATAGAACTTGTACAACTTATGCAATTAGATATAAAAGTGACACATTAACCATTATCTTCTTAATATCCCTCTGTGTTACTAAATTAGCATATTAAGTCCCTACTATACAGTTTATTAAAATAAATTAAAATCTAAAAATGTAGTTGGACATTAAAAGCAATAAATAATATCTTGAAAAAATTAATTATGTTTCAAGTGTTTCTTTTCATAACCTATTCTTTTTGAATGTATTAATATCTTAACAATATTATTAACAACTAAGTCCAAGAATTATAACAAAAATACATAAAATCAGTTCTATTCTAATTCTAAAATCTATATTTATTGTAAAATTATTTTGTGTAATTTGGGTTATTGGTATTGATGAAACAACTTTTAAACCTTGTAAATACTTGTTTTGTATTTTATTTCTCTACAAAAGTAAGAGTAAATTTATATTTATTAATTTTTATCCAGATTTTCAAAAAAATCTATATTGCCATATTACATTAATCAAATATCTGCTGTAATTTTGAATAACATCAAATAATAAGCTACTAAATGATTAATTTATATTCTAAAAGGGGTGTTTATATCAAACATGACAACACTATTAAGGTTCTAATTTATTATTTTAAAAATTATTTTAATATTTTGAAAGATGCCTTTCTTGTAAATTTAATTTTATGTGCAACTGAATGATTAGAAATAATTTGATCCAATTCTTAGCATCTCATTATGCATTTTAGGCAATAATTATTTATTTCAAAAATCAATAAAACTATGCTTATTTAAGCATATGTATCTTACATTAAAATTAGTTTATAATATAGGAAACTTGATATCAATCGAATTTTTATAATTTATTATCAAAATATATTCTAGGAGAAATATCCCTTAGAAGATCGACAATCAAATGTTCATAAAAACAATAGTTTATTGTAAATTGTTCAATATTTCACTTTTATCAAAGTTCCAACAAACTAAATAGGAAATCGCTTGTATAAAGCTGATGTCTCAATTTTCAACTCTCCTCTGTCAATTAGATAAGAAATTGCCAAAATGACATTAAAGGAAAACCACTAAATAACTTAAATTAACCAATTAATAAGACTTTCTTCATTTAGATTTCTATAAGTGATGACACAGCATCCTATTATAATTAACTAAAAAAGTTTGAATTCCCATGATCTAATTTAGGGGGCCAAGGCCATGTAATTTCCTTACTATTTGAGAACGTAATCTAAATACTCAGAAAAATCCTATGGATTTAGAAAAATTTTCAATATCATTAAATTTCGGTAATAATTTCTTTATCAGTCCTTTTAGGCTTAAAATCCCATAATAAATATATTTGATACCCAATTTAGCATAATTTTAGTGTTTTTAAAAGAATTTGTAATTGACATTTTTCTAATTCTATTTTAACAAAGTCTATACTATCTGATTTAAGGAGCAGAATTATGAATTCACCTCATTTATCTCATATCAATTCAGATAAATCTTCACAAGTGCTCAAAACTAATTCTCCTTACTCTAGTTTCAGAATCTGATCTAACTCTATCTTTTTGGGGTTTCTATTTTCAAATTTTTGCTCATAATTTTTATCCAAATAAAAAGTTGAAAAAAAGGTCACCAAAATGTTTTCTCAAATACAATCGTTTAATCGTGAGGACACTTAAAAAGTCATCATCCCTCTTAAGTATACAACCTTTCAAAAATATTAAGGTACCCAAAGTTGTATTTGATGAACAAAATCAATCTGATTTATAAATGTTATAAAATAGATAAGAAATACATTTTTTAACTTTATGAGTGGAATAGTGATAAAAACAGGTATTGACAAATTCTATTTTTAATGTCACTTATTGTACTAACATACCATCCTGTCAATTTTTATGTAATACATCAAGGGGATTTTTGCTCTATAAAATTATAAATAATTTATGTGTATTTCGAATTACTACTCAAAGTGAACTTAATGACTGATTTGAGGGGGAGATCAGTCTTAGGGATGGTTATTTTCAAAATACTTAGCAATTAAGCAATCAATATTAGAATAATTTAAAATGTATAAAATGTTAAACAATAAAAAATGTTTATCTAATTTAGTTTTACACATCAGACTAATGAATAATTAAATTCAAAAACATTTCACATATATCTAAAATCAGTTAATTTTCTAACTCATAGAAATTACTATCCATTAAATTTTTGTTTTAATGTAATAATGCTATTTAAAATGAGCTAATCAGATATTTGAAATTAATTTATACGCAGAACAATCAATTTTATAATTAACAATTAAAAGACAATATTTGAAAATGACTCATATTTTCATTGGTTTAATATTTAATTAATTCAAATTATTAAAAATTGTATTAATGGATTTATTAAATCATCGAATATTTTGTTATTGCTTTTGATTTTGAGATTTAGATTTAATTTTTCTAGTGTAAATTAGTATGAAAAGGAAACAAGTTATTTAAATGAATAAAATACTATTTGTAAACAACTTGTATTTGTTAATTATATGTATTTATAATAATACTATTGCATTTGATATCTCGTTTTGAGCAAATAATTGGCAATGTTATTCAATTTCATCACCATTTTATAATTCTAATTCGTATCCAATTGTTCCTATTTATATTTATTAAACTTAATTATCAACGAAAATGAAATGAGTAATATTTATCCTTATCATTTCCAATGTAAGCATAGTTTTATGGAAATAGTCATAGAGTTACCTATCTTCTTGAACATCATAAAAATGAGAGAGTTCATTCCTAGTTTATTTTAAAATTATATGAGTATCATCCATATATTAAATTAGAATATTTTCATTCTAAGAATTATTATAGGGGATTTAATTTCTCAACTACTTTTACAATTCGAATTCAATGTAATTTTTTTTTAAATTTATCATTAAATAGAATAATTCTGAAATCAATTAATTCACAATGAAAAGTTTAAGCTTAATTAGGTCTTCAGTATATTTACATGATACTAGTTTAATTGTGAAATCGTATTTATTAAAATTTTTATGTTTAGACAATTCTGGATAAATTTCTTTGTTCAGTTTTATTGAGTATATCAAGTTTAGTTGTTATAAATTGATCTGATACATAGCCAATTATATATCAGACCAGGTATTGATGTCTTTCTATAGAAAGAGATATTAATCATTTGATTTTTCAATATATAGGATATCAAAGATAATAACAGTTACAATTTATAAATTAAAATTGATACCATCAATAATAATTAAAGCAGTATTATTACCATCATCGAGCTTGAGCTTTATTAAATTACCAACTCTTATTGTGTCTGCAAAATTAGTCGAACTTATTGTTATTTTATAACTAATATTTGAGATCAATTTACAAAATTCATATTAATTTTCAGAACATTGAATTAATTCAATATTTAAATCGCCAAATAATTGTGAGATGCGAAGATAATATTGCTATTGTATCCAAGTCAAATAATGTTAATTCCAAAAATAATCCCGAATTACATGAATAATTTAATTTTCCAAAAAAATCACTTTAAAACTTAACTTTGCTATTTATGCTTGAAAATGATATTATCTATAACATAATGGTGAGGTTTATTCATCACAATTTAATAGTTCTTAACTAAATTGAATTGGTCCTCTCAAAATAATGTTTGAATTATTTATAATAGTCAAATTACTAATTGGGCCATAAAACATCTCAGAAATATTTAATTTTACTCTTTTATTATTTTAAATTTCAATTTTAGATGATATCATGAGATTATATAACTCATAGCATTAATTTTAAATTAAAATATTTAATTCAACACTACCATCCTCCTCTTTTAAGTTTAATGAAAAGTTTGAATTTAACTTTCTTTAATGAAGTTTTTCTTTCTCTAGATTGACTAAAAATATTTTCAAGAATGAGCACCTCCACTCTTTTTCAAAAGAAAACAATATACAAAAATGATCAAATTAAAAAAAAGGATCATCAGTTGCAATAATTTCAATAAATGATAACACAGACAGATTATATTAAAAAATGGCTATAGATAATGAATTATTTTATTCAAGTAAAATAGCTAAGCTATCAAAATTTATTTAGTACTTAAAAGGGTAGTAAAATTAATAGTCATTAAAAGTGTAATTTTTAATTTAAAGTAATTCATCATCCTTGAAGTAATTTAGAATTAGAGATTGAGTTGAATTTTGTATTGCAAACAATAAGTAACAGAGTTATAAAGTTTAAATTGAAATAATTAATTATTCTTGAATTTGATAACATTTAAAATATTCTTTAGTTGAGATAGCCAAAATATTTGCATATTGGATAAATTTTACATTTTCATTCTCAAAATAAAATAGAATAAGTCCAGGTTAATAAAAGTTCTTCGATAGGTATTTGTAACTTGGTTTTTACTCAGGATTCGTTGACATAATGAGAGGCAAATCAGAATCTTTTGTGTAAACAAATGCATTTTAAGAAACTTGCTTAACATTTGTAATTACATCATTTAATTAAATATTGAAATGCAAAAGTGATTCCTATGAAAATTTAACTCCTCTCAATACATAATTATTATTTTTATTTCTGTTCACAAAAAAATATATCAATTAAGATTCAAGTACGTGATATTCATCCATGTTTACTGAGTATGAAAGTTTAAGGGGTTGACAATTATAGATATAAAAATATGATTCATATTGAAAACATACATAGCCATAAATTATTTTTTTTAACTAAAACTTATGTTAAAAATAAGTTTTATAAAGTTTTATTAAACAATTTTATTGAAAATCTTAATATTTGCTGATACTTACCTTAATATTCCCATCACTACTATTTAAATCAAATGTAGCATTATTAAAGTATTTAAAGTTCTGTAATATCAAGAATTTTGATTACTTCTTTTAACAAATATTTTGAAATTCCATCAACTCAGTGAGTTAGAACATTTCTTTTTAATTGCTATTTTCCTTTAAAATTCTAAAACACAAAACAATGCAGTCTTTTTTAAATAAATTTTTTTTCTCAATTACATATACAAACTTTAATTTAGGTATTACAAAACCACTTAGTGGTTTGTATTAATAAAATTATAACACTTTTTTTGTCTAATCATATTAAGAGAATAAATTATTAGAATCATAAAAGTATAATGAAGTGTTACAAATTTGATATGTCTAATTAATGCGAACATTTATTAATACTTTCAATTCAAATTAGTTTTATAAAAAAAGAAGGTTTGAACGGAAGTGAATATTGTTCAATGTGTATTTTTAACTCAGAATGATTTCTAATTGTTTTTAAGTTTGAATTAATGATGAATTGGTTTTATCTAATTCATTCACTAAAACTATTATTTAGCATATCTGTTAGATTATGATTTTTTGAATTTTACTTGTGTACTACATTAAGAAGTAATTTAGAGTTTTTGTTTCATATTAATTAAGATATACTTACACATAAAAATTATCTTGGATCAAAATGATACAAGATGTTTTTTGATTAATTTCACAATAAGACACATCATCAATGAAAGAAAGATTTGATAACTCAATATACTTATACTTCATCGAAGCTTCGAACAAAATGCTAGCTTGATTGTTTTTAATTTACATAACTTTCCATCTCCAACATTGATAAAACACAATTAAATATTATTCTTGGTCCATTTTGATTTATTTTTTTTTGCATTCATCCTCTCTTTGGTCTGAAACATCATATTCCAAACTTATAGTCACCCTCCCTTACAAATCTATGTCATATTATTTTAAAGTTGACTAACTCAGACAAAATAAACTTAAACTTCCATCTTAATTTGTAAACAATTCATCACAGAGTTCATTAGCCAATATTTTTGTCTCTATCCTAATTAATTCATTAAAATTAGTTTATTCCTCGTACAAAATTAAATCAAAGCCCATACAAGTGATATAATAATCGAGATTAACAAATAAGCAGCATAACAATTTTTCTTATATTTTATTTTGATTTAAAGAATTGATTACTCTTATTAATATTGGTTCTTCTTAAAATGGAATTTAGAATGACTTTTATACAATTTGAGTATTGATGTGCTGGAGNTTTAACTCCTCTCAATACATAATTATTATTTTTATTTCTGTTCACAAAAAAATATATCAATTAAGATTCAAGTACGTGATATTCATCCATGTTTACTGAGTATGAAAGTTTAAGGGGTTGACAATTATAGATATAAAAATATGATTCATATTGAAAACATACATAGCCATAAATTATTTTTTTTAACTAAAACTTATGTTAAAAATAAGTTTTATAAAGTTTTATTAAACAATTTTATTGAAAATCTTAATATTTGCTGATACTTACCTTAATATTCCCATCACTACTATTTAAATCAAATGTAGCATTATTAAAGTATTTAAAGTTCTGTAATATCAAGAATTTTGATTACTTCTTTTAACAAATATTTTGAAATTCCATCAACTCAGTGAGTTAGAACATTTCTTTTTAATTGCTATTTTCCTTTAAAATTCTAAAACACAAAACAATGCAGTCTTTTTTAAATAAATTTTTTTTCTCAATTACATATACAAACTTTAATTTAGGTATTACAAAACCACTTAGTGGTTTGTATTAATAAAATTATAACACTTTTTTTGTCTAATCATATTAAGAGAATAAATTATTAGAATCATAAAAGTATAATGAAGTGTTACAAATTTGATATGTCTAATTAATGCGAACATTTATTAATACTTTCAATTCAAATTAGTTTTATAAAAAAAGAAGGTTTGAACGGAAGTGAATATTGTTCAATGTGTATTTTTAACTCAGAATGATTTCTAATTGTTTTTAAGTTTGAATTAATGATGAATTGGTTTTATCTAATTCATTCACTAAAACTATTATTTAGCATATCTGTTAGATTATGATTTTTTGAATTTTACTTGTGTACTACATTAAGAAGTAATTTAGAGTTTTTGTTTCATATTAATTAAGATATACTTACACATAAAAATTATCTTGGATCAAAATGATACAAGATGTTTTTTGATTAATTTCACAATAAGACACATCATCAATGAAAGAAAGATTTGATAACTCAATATACTTATACTTCATCGAAGCTTCGAACAAAATGCTAGCTTGATTGTTTTTAATTTACATAACTTTCCATCTCCAACATTGATAAAACACAATTAAATATTATTCTTGGTCCATTTTGATTTATTTTTTTTTGCATTCATCCTCTCTTTGGTCTGAAACATCATATTCCAAACTTATAGTCACCCTCCCTTACAAATCTATGTCATATTATTTTAAAGTTGACTAACTCAGACAAAATAAACTTAAACTTCCATCTTAATTTGTAAACAATTCATCACAGAGTTCATTAGCCAATATTTTTGTCTCTATCCTAATTAATTCATTAAAATTAGTTTATTCCTCGTACAAAATTAAATCAAAGCCCATACAAGTGATATAATAATCGAGATTAACAAATAAGCAGCATAACAATTTTTCTTATATTTTATTTTGATTTAAAGAATTGATTACTCTTATTAATATTGGTTCTTCTTAAAATGGAATTTAGAATGACTTTTATACAATTTGAGTATTGATGTGCTGGAGTTTCTAATAATCTTCTTCATCTCCTTCTAAAATATAACATTATGATGTGAATTAATAGCAAGCTATTTATTGTTGTGTTACCAATTCATTGCACTTTGAATTTAAAAGGTTAATAAGGTACCCTAATAATATATATAGAATTTTCATCTTATATAATATAATAAATATATTCAAATTGAAATGATTTAGAACACATCTGAAAGGAATCAAGATTTAATTGGAGGCAATGTCTTACAATAGAAACTATGTCAAAAACGAATTTCAGAAGTCTAAAAAATGGAATTTACTTTTACTCTTTTGAACTTTACCTTTTAATTCATTATCACATCCCTACCATTTGCAAAATAAGATATACAGAATTAAGTTGTTTCATGATAAATTTATCTTTATTAAAAACTAATATTGAAAAAACATTATTCTACATAACTTATCAGTTCTTTACACATTCAAGATTACACTTTGTATAATTTTTATGACAATTCTAATAGTAGTGTATGAGTATTATATTAAGAACATCAACATCACCCAAATATTTTAGTTTAATTAAGTAATTGAGCTTAAAATTAGCCATTAATTCTTTTTTTCTGTTTTTTTAATATTCATTTTAAGAAATTGTGTGTTAAATTTAAAAGAATTACTTATCTAAAAGTTACAGAAAATATTCTAAAGTGAATTATTCTATTTATTTATTAACTGCTACTTCATAAATCCTGTTGTCCATTTTTGATTCAGGCTACATTAAGAATTATTTGAATCAATTATTATTCAAATTAAATTAGAATATTATTTTTGGTAATCTGTTTTCTATCATTCAAAGTATTTTTAATGATTCAATCATCAATATCTACGTTTCATCTGCATCTTGACATGGCAACATTATTTTATAGCTAAAGTAACTTCTCTAATTTCTCTAATAAAGATTACTAGCAAAATTTTGGCAAAATTAGGAAGGTGATAAAATAGTTGATAGTGATATATAAAATTTCTAAAAGGTAAAAACGAGTGATCTATCATGCTTAGATGAATTAGAATAGAGAGTGAATTGAAAAATACTAAATAGTGCACTTCTTTACTATTATCAACTTTATAAAGAATATGAACAGACTGCCTCCAGACAATTGATCTACATCTTCAATCAAAAAATGTTTCGTGGAATCCTTAGTGCATTCAGTTTATGTTGAATCAACAAATTAAAATAGGACCTTTGTTGAATGCAGGCGATAAAAAAATGAGATATTCTTTGTACTAATGTGGACTTCATGCTTTCTTACAAGCTCTTCCTTAAATCGTTTATGAGATTTGCATTTCAAATCTGTGAGTAAATTGGAATCTAGTACTTTCTGATAAATACCAAAATACTAAAAATATTTTAAATAAGTGTAAATTGGTTTCACTAAGGCAGTTAATTTGCTACTTTTTGGATTCATATCTTTTCTAAAATCCATTTCTAATATATATTCTTAAACAAATGCTATTAAGAGAATAATTGATATAAGCGTTGCAATAATATAAAATTAATTATCGAACCTTCATATATAATTGATAATTTCAAATATTTAGTTTAGGTCTAAATAAATTTCTCAGTGTTAAATTTATTAATCTATGAATCGTTTGTTCTGATTATTAATTTATATAAAGCAGATTGTGGATATTTGATGAAGATATAAATGCATTTGCTAGAATTCTAATTTAAATACTCATTATATAATTAAAAGAAAGTCAAGTGGAAGAGATTCTACAAAAGCTATGATTAGGATTATGTATGACGATTCATAAGTAAGGATTCTAATTTATCCAAGTTTAGGAGAGTTCCAAAAGTTATGGAAATGACTTTTTTACATTTACTAATGTATTTCAAAATGAAAATAAAATTCAGTTTCAAATTTAGTTCTTTGATGTTCTGTGCTGACTGGTCATAGTATTTACTAATAATGTCAAGTTTGCTCAAATGATATTTTATACCCACCACATATGTAAGATTATCAGAAAGATGGATTACTTAGAATGCATCATTAATGTGTCAGTTTAGNAAATATTTTAGTTTAATTAAGTAATTGAGCTTAAAATTAGCCATTAATTCTTTTTTTCTGTTTTTTTAATATTCATTTTAAGAAATTGTGTGTTAAATTTAAAAGAATTACTTATCTAAAAGTTACAGAAAATATTCTAAAGTGAATTATTCTATTTATTTATTAACTGCTACTTCATAAATCCTGTTGTCCATTTTTGATTCAGGCTACATTAAGAATTATTTGAATCAATTATTATTCAAATTAAATTAGAATATTATTTTTGGTAATCTGTTTTCTATCATTCAAAGTATTTTTAATGATTCAATCATCAATATCTACGTTTCATCTGCATCTTGACATGGCAACATTATTTTATAGCTAAAGTAACTTCTCTAATTTCTCTAATAAAGATTACTAGCAAAATTTTGGCAAAATTAGGAAGGTGATAAAATAGTTGATAGTGATATATAAAATTTCTAAAAGGTAAAAACGAGTGATCTATCATGCTTAGATGAATTAGAATAGAGAGTGAATTGAAAAATACTAAATAGTGCACTTCTTTACTATTATCAACTTTATAAAGAATATGAACAGACTGCCTCCAGACAATTGATCTACATCTTCAATCAAAAAATGTTTCGTGGAATCCTTAGTGCATTCAGTTTATGTTGAATCAACAAATTAAAATAGGACCTTTGTTGAATGCAGGCGATAAAAAAATGAGATATTCTTTGTACTAATGTGGACTTCATGCTTTCTTACAAGCTCTTCCTTAAATCGTTTATGAGATTTGCATTTCAAATCTGTGAGTAAATTGGAATCTAGTACTTTCTGATAAATACCAAAATACTAAAAATATTTTAAATAAGTGTAAATTGGTTTCACTAAGGCAGTTAATTTGCTACTTTTTGGATTCATATCTTTTCTAAAATCCATTTCTAATATATATTCTTAAACAAATGCTATTAAGAGAATAATTGATATAAGCGTTGCAATAATATAAAATTAATTATCGAACCTTCATATATAATTGATAATTTCAAATATTTAGTTTAGGTCTAAATAAATTTCTCAGTGTTAAATTTATTAATCTATGAATCGTTTGTTCTGATTATTAATTTATATAAAGCAGATTGTGGATATTTGATGAAGATATAAATGCATTTGCTAGAATTCTAATTTAAATACTCATTATATAATTAAAAGAAAGTCAAGTGGAAGAGATTCTACAAAAGCTATGATTAGGATTATGTATGACGATTCATAAGTAAGGATTCTAATTTATCCAAGTTTAGGAGAGTTCCAAAAGTTATGGAAATGACTTTTTTACATTTACTAATGTATTTCAAAATGAAAATAAAATTCAGTTTCAAATTTAGTTCTTTGATGTTCTGTGCTGACTGGTCATAGTATTTACTAATAATGTCAAGTTTGCTCAAATGATATTTTATACCCACCACATATGTAAGATTATCAGAAAGATGGATTACTTAGAATGCATCATTAATGTGTCAGTTTAGCTAAATCCATTCAAATCATAATACTCTCCAGATCTAGAGAAGATATGTCAGTTGAAATCAACACAATCAAAGAATTATAATTTGTGAAAATAAGAAGTTTTGAAAATCCAAAATAATCCGCTCACTAGATTATTCAGATGAATTCATTAATCAATGAACTTCTTCTACTATACAAAACGTGTCTAATATAAAGCAAAGCAATATGTATTAAGCAATAATAAAACACCAATATATAAATCTTGTTTAAGGTTAACTAAAATTACTTGTACATATTATAAGAGGATATGTAAGCCAAAAAATCATATTTCACATATATTCAGTAAGTACTTATCAAAATGATCAACAAAAAAGTAGAAATAATTTATTGTTTACATTTAAGTCTCGATCTATATTTGCTATGATTTGAATATCCGATTTAAAACTTTCTATTTTATTTTCGTTTGCTTGATAATCAATGAATATTGAAAGGCAATAATAGGTTAATTACGAAAATCAAAAAATTATTATTTCACTATGAATTTTTTCAAAAAAATATATTGAATACAAAATTTTCAATTTAAAGTAAAGTAGCCATTGTTAGGAGAAATTTTTCAAATGATGTTATGGGTATCATCATTTTTCTTAAGTGTTAATCAGATTTTTACATTTTTATTATTATTATATTATTAATCATCAATTAATCATCAATTAATTATATCTAATACTATTTTATCTAACTCAAGATCTGAACAAAACCTCCATTCTAGTCAAAGAGATTAAGGTAAATTTTATGTCTCTAAAATAAAACAGGATAACTACCTAAAACACAAATCTAAACGTATTTATTTAATAAATCTTAAGTGGTTAACCATTTTCTGTTGTGAATTATCTACCAAAAACGCAGTGACCACTTCAGATCTTTTTATTCCAAAAAAAAAAGTTGCTCATGCTTTTTTATTTTTGGTGGTTCATAATAAACGGGTACGCCACTTGAGAAGATCCCATATGCAAGTAAACTAATCTCCTGTGCTCTACGAATTTGTAATAATTTTCTAACCATTTCCTCTCTATATTCATTAGGTTGGGTTTTGTGAGGACTTTTTGAATTATCAGACCTAAGAATATTTAAGTATTGGTTTACTCCTTATACAACAAGGTCTGAATGAAGATATTCAATTTATGAGTTGAACTTGTATTTTCTGAGCCCTTATTGAATTAAGCTTAAATCTATTAAAAGTGGGTTTATTTCAATCAAGGTTCCTTTTATCACATACATTTAGATAATTTTAATATTATAGAAGAATGTACAAAGCACACAATGTCCACATAAGTTGGCAATTTTCGAACTAATAGCTTAATTCTAAAGATAGATTAGTCTGGGAAAGTTATGTTGTATCAAAATAATGATCAGCAGAAAAATAAACTAACTTTTAAAGATAGCATTCGCACCAACTTAATTGAATTAAATGTGCAAACGCTAAGATGATTATAATATCTTTCTTTTTAAGTTTGTATAGTTATTTAAAAAGATTATAATATTGTAAATCTAGCCATCATAATGCTCTTTAAAAATGAAGCGCTAAATTTATATTGGAATTAGATTTAATGAAAACAATCTGTCCTTTAGTAGAGTAGATATGAGATCTAAAAGTTGGAGAAGCCTGCATATTTTAATCTAAGTAACAAAAAAGCGAAAAAGAGAATGATAAAAGTTCATTAATAACATATCCTCTCTCTGATAAGAAAAGCTAAGGAAGGAAATTTTGCCAATTTGAAAAATCAAAATTCTTGCACTTCGAATTTTTTTAGAATAATATTAATTTAACAAAATTCTATATAATTTTTAATTGCCTCTTCTACCATTTAATTCAGAATTTCTAGAGCTATATTAGCTTCAAAATGAAGTTTTATATATGCAAAAATTAATTCTGATATTGATCCAATTAAGGAGATGTAGAATTATGAATGATATTTTAAAATTTAACCTAAAAGTAGAGAAAGTCCTTTGATTATTTACAAATTAGTCCATTCTTTCCTTATATAATTTTAAAGAAATTGGTCATTTCTTTATCAAATTTATTCCAAATTTTTTCATTTGAAAAGGAAATGATCCATTTGTTTTGTTAGTTTTCTTTACAAAACAGAACTTAGTCATTATTTTTTATGAATCCAATTATTTCCTTATTAAAATAAAATAAGGAAAATGTTAAGGTACCTAAGACATTTAATTTGAAAAATTCTGTCAATTTTCTATCATAAATAGCTTGGCTGTTTACTAAAAGTACAATTTATTTTAATCTCCAAAAATTAGATAAAATTTTAGAACCCTAAATTTGATTTGAAGGAGTTTGGATCATTTATTTTGATATTTAATGTTCAGTAAAGTTAACAATAGAGTGAAAATTTAAATTTATTAATTAATGGAGAGTATCAGGAAGATAAAATAATCAAATTAAATATAAATTAGAAAGTAATAGATAAATGATAATCAATGCATTAGTTATCTATGAATATTTATCTTAAAATCAATTTTTAGTTACATAAAAATACGTTTAAAAATTATGTTTTCATAAAATTGAAAGATTTTAAATAGATCTAGTTATAATTTTAACAACAAATTTTAAATTACATTATCTTATAAAGGGTAATTTGAAATAAATTTACTAATGTTGATCCATAGAATAAGATATAAAAATTACTAAAAGGTTGAAAATTTGAAGGCAAATTGGGTTGAAAAGCTTCAAAGATGTAATTAGAAAACATGTAAAAATATTACAGATTTTTCAATAGAGCAATTCTCAATAGATTGGAAAATATAGTAGTCATAAAATGAAAAAGTTAAGTATACATTTAAAGTATTGTTTATTTCGGTTTATTTTTATTCAATCTATATTAAACCTAGAAACATCTAAATTTTAAAATATATCTACAAATCTAAAATGCATAACTAAAATACCATTTATGTCGTCATCCTTAATATCGTCTCCGTCACTATCCACAACTACGAATCTAAGGTATTGATTTATTTCAAAGATAAAGTCCAAAACAGCAGATACCTTTCAATAAAAATACTTATTTACTTTCCAATCAGGATTTGGGTTGTTTTTTTAACTTCTGTTTTCACTATTAATTTTTCGGCTCCTTGTTTTCCTTCTGTTAAATAAACATATATTTAAGGGTCGCTATCTGATAGTACATCCTTATTAGCTAGACCTCTAGCAGAGAAGAAAAGTTCAATTTTTTCCCTATCTTCTATTTGTATGCATTAATTATAATTGAAATTTATACTTATTATTACATAATATAAAAATAATAAGTTGAATCATTTAAACTTAAAAAGCGAATGCAATTTTCGAGAAGTACCTAAATATGAATTATATTATGAATTCAATTGTGAAAAGTATCTAGCTGATAAGGTAGAAAATATATAATCAGATAATTAGAAATGCTTGATCGGTGATAGATTAATTATGAGATAACTAATTACATTTATAACTTTAATAAGCAATAAATTTATGACCAAAAGAAAAATGATCAATCATCAGATTTTGATTAAGAAAGAATCAATTAATATCTATCGAATAGCAAATAAAATTACTTTTAGTTAGAGTAACTAATCATTAAGCCAATTTTTCTACTTTGATTTTGAATGTATAATTTCTGAAATTTAGTTAAATATGGCTTTAAATATGTTTATTAAAATGAAATAATTTAATTAATTTAATTAATAGATTGAGATTTCATTAATAAATATTGTTAAATTATTAAATAAAGTAATAATGAAAAAAAAGATATCAATCTTATTCAATACGTGCTCAATGAGAGAAAGGATAATTTTATCGCTATTAAATGAGGATTCAAAGAAGACAACATACTATGTATTATAATAATTTTTGTGAACCTGATAGTGTAATATATTTTGAAGTTTTAAGAGATATTTATTATACTAAATTCAGATTTATTAAAAAAACAATGATTAAGTTTGAAATATTTCAAAAGTGATACATATAAATAATAAATATAATTTAAATTAGGCCATCAGTTTTATCAATTTAAGAGAGCAATCTGATAAAAATATCATTTTAATAAGAAGAAAAGCACATAAATTATATAAAAAACTTAATTTATGATTAAAAGTCAAATAGTATTAAATTAAAAATAACCTAAGTAATATTTATTCAATAATAAAAATTAATAATAATAGTAAAGTTATCAATTTCTTTCTGATTCTAATGAAAATATTGATTGAAATTTATAATTTTTCAATTATAAAATAAAGATGTATTTCAAAATTGTATTAAATAAATCTAATATTCTTTCAAATGTATCTAAATTTATGATCAGAATCATAAATAATACGAAACATACTTAAAGCCTTACTAAGTTTCTTTTATGAATTAAATTTTATTATATTGATTTTAATTTGTTTTATGGATCTAATTGCATATATCATATTGATAAATATAATATTTCTTGATTTTAAGGTTTGAATTTTTGTAATAATGAGGAAGAAATTAAAACTCAGTAGGTTTTTTATTTATTTTTTAAACGAATTACAGGATTAACAGAGCCTCTTTAAAATGAATCCTAACCTCTACAAATAGTTCGAGAATTTAAACTTAATAAGGTAAAATTAGAGTGCTTAATGGGTATTCTAATTAGATTTTCGTTGCAAAAAAAACAATTCATTTCATTAACATTTAGACAAAGTATTCTTTATTGAGAGAACCTGTCGAGGAAAAATCCAAATTAGGGAAACCTTTAGGGTTTAGTTTGAAGGAAATTATTCAGATGATGGTTAGTTGATTAAAATTTAAGAGATTAATTAACCAAACATATAATTTAAAAAGGGTTTCATGAAAGCTTCAAGGCTTATGTAAAATAGGAAGAAAACTTTGTTTCAGTATATTTGGCAGATCTTTGGAGATGAAAGAAGCTTTGTGATTAAAACATTATTCAAAGAAGTAGCTTATGGATAAGATAAAGGGAAGGAACATAAAACCTATCTTAGCTTTAAAAATTAAAGGAAATAGCAATGATAAGATAGATTGATCGTTATGTGCTGATAAAATTGGATGAAGTGTATGAGACTGATAATTCTCCTTATATGGTACTTGATCTTTTGGGAGGTGGATCTTTATTTGACAAAGTTAAAATAAATTATAGTTTAATGCATTTGAAATTGAAGTGCTTGTTTTTTAGTCTATTGGAGAGGCTTCATCATATGCATTCGAAAAATATAATGCAAAGACTTAAAACCAGAAAATTATGTATTTAGAAAATAGGGGTAATTTAATAATTTTATTTGAAGTATCTGTGTATATTGCTGATTTTGGATTAGCTCAACGTTCTTAATGAATTTCCTTATTTGTTTAATAGATGTGGTACTCCAGGATTTGTGGCTCCAGAGGTGATTTATTGTAAAGTTGGAGGAAGACATGATTCAATAACTGATATTTAATTTAGGATTAATATTCTATATTTTTCAGATGATTGTTTTGAATCTTAGACTCACTGGAAAATCAGCATTTCCTGGTAAAAGCTATAATGATGTTTGGGTAAAAACAGAAATGTGAGATATCATTTCAACGTCTCAATCTTTGAGAGCGTTCCTTAATAAGCCTATGATCTTCTAATAAACTTACTTGATAAGTTTCCCAAAACAAGAATATCTGCTAAGGAAGTATTGAGTCATGGCTATTTAGGAAGAAGATTAAAATAAATCGAGGAAAATGAGGGTGATGCATTGAAAAATCAAGAAGAACAATTGAAATTCATAAATAGAGGTTAAAGCAATTAAATAATTCTCCATTGCATTCACCTCTAATAACAGCTTCTTCTAAATTAAAAAAGGGTTATTCAAATGATAGTCTACATTAATAAAGTCCTTTATTAAATGGGCCAACAAATAAAATAGGTATTGAAATGATCTATAAAGATTCGCCTTTAATTAACAGTTCCAATAATTTCTTTACAAACCTCCAAATGGCTAGTGCTTATTTAAAAATTGTGTATTTTTTGAGATTATCAAAATTCTAAAATTAGGTTATTTGATGATTTATCTAATTACTAATTAATAATTTAATTTTTCTGAACATTTTCTTATACAATACCTATAATAAGTATCTAAAGGCCTTTGATCTGAAAATTGAAAAATTAAAGCAGCTGATTCTTTCAATTCTTAACCATGTGAATATAGGTCTTCACTATTTGGAATTCTCCATGTATCTAAGTTATAATAGGGCGTAAGTAAACGAATCATCTATTTATTTTCTCTAATTCTATTGATAATATTTTTCAATAGCCCCTTTTTCACTTCATCGAAAATGGGAATCTAAGTGTGATTGCTAAAGAATTTCTTTCTTAATTTCGGTAGACTCTTGCTTATAGACAGAGAGTTTAATTCAAGACACTCTTAGAAGATTCTGTACAAATAAATCATTATGAGTTATCAACTGATTAGAGTCTTAATATTTAACTTAGATTATAGAGATATCTTGTGAATAATCATTTGAAGAAATTTAGATAAAAGTTTCGGTTCTTTTTGGTCTCATTTCAATATTATATATACGACACTCTAGTTTATTCGTATCCTTTAATTCCAAAAGCAAATGATTAAAACTAATAAATTTTAATTAAAAAGTTTCCATCCATAGATTACCTGAAAACATGAATATATTGGACAAGCACTTCAAATGAGACAAAAAGATTTTTTACAATCATGATTTCCTTTGATTTATCATCTTTTGGTTGATTTTTCATTTTGCACATTTGTATTAATATTAATTATAGTGATAATACATTATTCTACTTAAGCATATATATTTTTTAATTTAAGTATGGCTCAGAATGAATAGATGCCAAATGTTTAAGATTTGATAGCAGCTTTCACCTCTTTTAATTTGGCTGCCTATGAAGTATCAGAACAACTTCTGAAAGGAATACTACTTGATACGCCCCATAATATGGTTCATCTAGTAAAATTGCTGATGCTATAATTTGATAATTTGTTTAAGCAAATTTAAGAATTATAAGTCAGGATAGAAACCATAAACAAAGCTTAATAAGAACCACAGTAACATCGCACAAGAAATTCTATGGCTGTGGTAAAATTAATTTAATACATCCCATAATTTATATGACATATTTGGGCAAATCTAAAAGTAAATGTATAAGACATGAAAAATGTCATACATAGAAATATTGTAGCAGAAGATCCAGAATAGCATGTTAAGTTGGCCTAATCAGTTAAGGAGGTGATTTCTGAGAAGGGTAATTAACCTAATTGGAAAGAATAATAATAATGATAATAATAAAATGCAAAATAATTAAATTTGAATAAATTTATATAAAGCCAAATGTTTATTTTGATAATTTACTGAAAATTTTGTTTCGACAATCCTTCCAATCAAATATCAAAATAGTTCTGCATTTTAAATTTACACATTCAACATGACTTATTTAATAGCATTATGAATTTATTTAAGTAATCAAATAAATATTTATTTTTTGCAATTCTATGAATAATTGTTATAGAAAAACATATTTCAAAAGAAATAATAAAAAAATTAGTATTAAAATCAACCTTTTAGGCATATTTCTCAAATATAAGTGTAAAGCTTTTTAAATAATCCTGCAACTATATTTTTGATCAAATAAGACTGCTGACTTTTGAGGTGGAAATATGAAGTTTTACAAATTATAACATAAATTAGAATAGCTCATAAACTAATTGAATATAAGGTTGATAAATTTACATATAATTTCTATTTCTATTATTAAAATATTCATGATTGAGACAATTTATGAAAAGTAACAATAACAGTTAGTGCAAATCAAATAGAAATGTCAAGAAGCCTCGAAAAAATTCAAAAATGCTTTGCAAGAAGGAGCTGCAACAAAAATTAAAAACAACGAAATTTTCTCAATATCTAAGTACATTTCATGTTTACAGTTTAGCAATATATATCGATTATGTGAACAAGACAATTAAGAGGTCCATCTTTATTAATCTAAGTATATGACGGTTGAAGAATAATTGAAAGAAATTTATCAAGATCTTTTGAAAGAATTCATTAATGATATTTACTACTAAGTTGATAAATTTAATTAGGAAAAAGAAAGTGTATAAATACCAATATTATATTCAAGGTACTCTTTATTGTTACAAAAACATATCACGATTATAAAGCTTATTCAAATTCGCTTTACTAAATGTTCTGTAGGCTTGATAAAAAATTTACATCGGTTTCTTAGACATTTCTTATGGACTTGTCTATAAAGTTATTTAAAATGGAATATTTTGATAAATTTAATAAGCTAATCCTGAATACAATTTTATAGTTTATATAGGAAACAAGAAAGTATGGAATATTATTGAATAAATAAATCAAACAACTAGTTGAGTTATTTTCTATCATGGGTTCTAAGGAAGTTGAATTGAAGTATATAAGAGAATCTGGATATTTTTATATTTCCAAAAAAAAAGAGGATGCTTAAAGATTCTACGAAGAATAATTTTAATCTCATCTTTTAACAGAAGTAAAGTTTCTTTCTATTCTTAGACTTTAAAATATTATAAGAAGGAAATAGATGATAAATTAAACTTAACTACTATAGAGTTTATAAATTGGATAAATTCCATTTTCAAATTGGAATAGGATATGTGTTTGGAATGCTATCCAATTAGTTATTAAGTATTAAAAAAGGAATTAGAAATTATACTAGTCAATAATCAAGCAGCTAGATTAATCGATTCACCTACAGGATTAAGCTATATGTTACAATATGACTAGACTGATGAATTAAAATTATTATTCAAATTCCTAGCTCAAAATAATTAATGCAGAATTTATATATCCAAATATTTTGAATAAAAAGGATAGCCTTTAAATAATTCAATTTTAAATTAAGAATAAATGGAATAATAAAAAAGTAATTATTTAAATTTATTTGATTTTTAGATGAAGCTGAACTCTATTTCACGAATATATTATTATTAATGGAAAAAGCTGAAGATATTTTTAAAAATTAATTGGAAAAAGAACCCGAGGTCTAAAGTTTATACGAGGAAGCAATAATGTATTTGATAAATAAACATGAAAAATCTCCAAAATTTTTAGCCATATATATTGATATTATCATAAGAAGAGAGAAAGGACGAAAGGAAATAGAAGGCGATAAAAGGTTGCCCTAAATTGTTTCTCTTTTTAAATTACTTTATCAAAGAGATATTTTTTTTAACCATTATTACAAACTATTATCCAAAAGATTGCTCAATTAATAGACTTAAGATCTCTAATTAGAGAAGTAACTTATTTAAAAATTCAAAGGTTAAGTTGGTTCAAATGTTCTGTAATATTTTTAATTATTCTTAGACCAAAATTATCTACCATGATTTAAGATATTGAATTATCAAATAGATTTACCATTGATTAATCACTCAGCAAAGATATCCAATTTGACTTAAATGTGGTCTTGCTTACTAATGGGTGTTGGCCTATAATAACTAATATTTAAGATAATATCATTAGGCCACTTGAAATTTAGAATAGTTTGGAGTATAGATTTACTTATTGTTTTGTAGGAATTACAAAAAAATGTTTGAAGATTAAAACAAAGAAAGAAGAATCGAATGGTAATTAAATTTGGGATAGGGAGAATTGATATATAAAATGTAAACAGAAAAATACATCTTGATTTTGAATACAATGTAAATGATTGCTATCCTTTAATTCAATAAAGCAGATTCATTCTCTATCAAAAAAATCCTAGATATGACTAATATTGATAAGAAAATTTTAGAAAATTCATTGATCCCTTTTGTTTGTATGAAGATAATAACAAGAGAAAAATAGGATATTGAAGATTTTTCAGATGAAAATGAAGTTCTAAAATTGAACATGAGTTTCACAAAAAGGGCCAAAAAAATTCAATTATTGCCCAATTACAAGATGTAGCCAAAAAGAGCTGTAAAATCAATAATTAATTTCTAGAATAATGACAAGGAGGAAAAAGAGGAGAAGTAACAATTACAAAAGCAAAGAGAATCTGTTGTGGATTCTTAGCTGGTAAAATTGATGAAAATTAATAAAACAATTAATCATCAGAACTTACTATAAAATTGTTAAAATGCGATCTCTATTTTTAGACCAGATGAGAAATTCATCAAAAATAGAATAGAATATTTGATTGAGAAAGAGTACATAGTAAGAGATGAAAATAAATTGTATTTATTAATTATATAAATTATTTAGGAATGTTTATCGTTATCAGAATTGAGGATAAATAGATAAGACAATTTAAGTATGAATTAAAATACAAATAGATTTAAATATTATTTTTAAATGCAAGAAAAAGTAGTTTTATAATGAAATACTTGATTTAATCTTTTAAGAATCAGTATTTTCTCAACACTTCCTTCTTTACTTAATTAATATGGCTATAAAAATTTCATTTTCTTATTAATATCTCGAGTAGTACGCAATTTCTTTAAAAGTAATATCTATTGTGTTTATTCCAATTTCTTTTTAAAATTATATCGCTTGCTTTTGTTTTAATTTCCTTTTAAAATGCTATTTTTTTAGGTTCGACTTATTATATCACCAACCTTTCTGATGAGAATCTCTTTGAATTTTGCAACATAGCCCTAGCCTCTAATTTTGATTAGGTGATTCTAAATTTTTGTTGGTCGCATGTCTTTCATATGGGAAATGTTGGATGCGTTCTTATTTGGTGGAATCGATCTCTATGCTAAAATTTATTTATTGCATCGTTCCCATTTGTCTATGTAAATAAGGCCCATGTCTATTTTTCCTTCCTTCGATTAATGATTAGTCTAATTGTTTTTAAATGAGTTTACTATCATTAGAGATATTAATCATCTACTCTTCAAGATTGAATCAAACCTGTGATCTAAAAGGTTCTCATCATCTTCTTAGAGTTTTATATCCCCCTATCTATTTTTTGTAATCTTTTCATGGTCTATTTCGATAGTTTTCTTTAGAAAGTTCTTCTTTTATTTTTCAGTCCCTCAATGCAAAAATTAGTTAATTTTATAATTTCTTATTTATTCTTATCCTTTTAAAAGTTAGATGTTTAATATTTCTCCTTTCTTATTCCTTTTAACTTATGTTGTATGCTAGATGAATTTAGCGAATTTCTTTTTGTTATTTAAAGAGTATGAGATATACATTCTTCAATATATTTGACTGTGATTTAATCAAAAGCTTAATGAAAAAGTGTTAGAGGCCAGGCCAGAATGAACATTTTCTTTTATTAGTAATTCTTGACTTGATTCCAGATAATCTCAATGACATTAATTAAAGAGTATACGAAGGGAGGAATAGATGGGTAAATTTTTGATAGAGCTCGAGCATACGCTCTCCCTTATGAATCTGAGCATTGTAAGAATAACAAAAAATTATACTACCTCTAATAATGGGCAGGTTGTTCTAATAACATAATCATCTATAGATAAATCTGGTGCAATATATAATGTTCCTGCAATTTATTCATAAATGAGAAATTTATTCTATCCAATAGGGTCTAAAAGGGAGCTAGCACAGAATTCTACATAATTCAAATAGTTATGATTTCTTCTATTACCATCTCTTCTCAGCTAGACTCGATGCCCTAAATTACACTTATTGACAAACAAGAGATTTGTCCAGCTTTTAAGTAGGAGCATAAAGCATAAAAATTTCTTTCTTGATGATATATGCTTAGGAGTCATTAATTTTAAAGAGTTCTTTAGAGGGAGCTTCTAAGAGCATCTTGATAGATGAGAAGTATTGCTTTTTTTGAGTATAAGCCTTTTGCAAAAAGTCAAAGTAGATGTCCAAGAGATTAAAAAGACCTCTTGTTGCTCTTATCAGATGAATTTTTCAATCTAGTCTTAAGGAAATTTACTTATAAAAAATTGGTTGTCTAGATTTTCTTCCAAAGATAATCTCTTAATCTATTGCTCTTTTTGATTTGAAACAATGATAATATTTTTACATTTGTCAGATTTTTTCATTCTCTTATGCAATTTGTGATAAAAGAGCCTGGGAAACTTTCTTCTCCAATGAAGCCAACTCTATTTTCTTATAGTCTTATGCTCTTAAACATTATGAGAAAGCATCAAAAAGAGATCCAAGCAGTTTTGGTCCCATTTTTCATGTGCTCAGAGCACTCTTCTATAAATAATGCTTTTAGCTAAGCAAAATAACGATCTATTATAAATTAAATTTTTGGATAACAAAAAATTCAAGAAGCCCCCTTACCTTATTAAGAAACATCTACAAACTGAAAATATATAGTTAAATTTATTTTACTAGATGAATTCAGTAAATACATTTATATATTAAGATTCTATAACTCTTCAAAGGTTCTTTGATTAATTCCATTAAATGTAAAATCAAGGAAGATCTCTTTTATTTAATTTTGATTGACATTGGGATGAAATCATTTAATTATAAGAGTTAAAAATCAAAAAGAAATACAATTTGGGATTAATACGTAAGGGTTGATAATAATCTATTGATATAGAATTTGGGTAATTTAAATAATATGAGAACTTTGATACTCAAATCAGTAATATGTAATTTGTGAATTTATAAAAACTTATAAATTGATGTGATTCATAAGACCCTATCCTATTATCTCACCATTGATATTCAGAATCTTGTAATTGAAATGTTTTAATAGATATATCGTTTATCTCTTACCTCTGAATCATTAGTAGAAAATATCTATTTCTTCATTGTTGTTTATCGATATTAATTTGAATAGTTTTCCTAAACAATTGTTAGCCTACTTTTAGAATTCCCTTTTTTATCTGTGAACTCAGCTCGAAAAACTAAGAAATCTTAAGATTAGCTCCAAAATACAAATACTTTTTGTGAAATATGTAAATAAGTAAAATTACCTGTAATGTTTCTTTTCAACCCATATTCCCTTACCTTCGAAAAGAATTAAAAAACTATTAGTCTAAAATTAAAAGTATAATTGCAAAATTTGATTATTTTCAACTGATTTCTCGAGCTTGAGACTTAATGTATATTTTTACAGAGTCAAAATAAACAATCCTATTTTCTATTGACATCTCCATAGTTTTACATTTAGATTATTCTATTTAATCTAATGTTGAACATTTGATTATTTTAACTAAATCTCATTTTACCTATTTCGATATATATAATTCCAATATAAGATGAAAAAACGAATAAGTAATTAAAATTTAAATTTGGATTACTTTAAATTTATAATGGAAATGAAATTAAGATAAAATATACTTTTTAAAGTCTTTATAAGATATAACTATAAATAGCTATCATAAAGAATCTATTATATATGAAATTTTTAAGTATTGTTATTTTGAAGTCTAAGAATAATGAAATAGTTTATAGAATTTATTGGAATTACTTAACTAAGGTTATCATATCACTAAGCTTTCAAAAAGGAACAATTAGGAATCTGCATTTATTAGTATTAATATATCTCAATTCTGAGTTGTTGTAAATTTCAACATAAAGCCTCGTAACTAGTAATCCTTATATATCTAATTAGCTTAAGCAGATTCAAAATGGTACCGATTTAAAGAGTTAACTATGAGTTTTTTGAATTTGTTTTTCAAATTTTTGAAGTTAACTTATGATATTTCACTTTTTATAAATGATTCATATCATCTATTCGTAAATAGTAGGGATATCTTGATTAGATTATAGTAATTAAATATGCTATGTTCACATTTCATCAATATTAATGAAAAGTAATCGATTTTTCAGTATTTTCATAGTAGAATCCTTCTCTTTAAGTTTAAGGTTTTTATTTTGATTTCCTAATTCATCAAATTCTTGGAAAATAATAGGGGCAATTTATAATGTATTTTAAATAAAACAAATTTTAACATCTCCTAATTCAATCACATCCATATTATAATTAGATACTTACATAGCCTAATCTGCCTTAAACCTCAATTCAAACTCACATCTCTTTAGACTAACCTTAGCATTTAAATAAAATCAAATTTTGCCTCAATTAAATGTGTGTCATCACTTTTTCAGATGCTAATCTTCTCCTTCTTAAATTTTATCACTTATTTTGTCAACCAATTTCTCTTTAATATATTGAATTAATGTTATACAGATGTGAAAGGAATAAAAGTTATTCTGAAACTTAATAAGAATGGTATTTATACGAAGGAACACCTAGATCTCTAAAGATGAAAATAATGAATATTTATAATAATGGGAATTATCAAAAAATAATATCTCTCTATTAATATGTTGATTCTTTGATCGAACATAGTTCTAGCTATTTTCCTTTTTTAAATTAATCACTCGGGTGTAGTAATGACTATCAAGGACACCTATTACCCCATTTAATCAAGATTTATTTCTTAAATTTAGGTACTTGATTAATTAAAAAAATTATTAATTAATTTGTTTTTACCAGTTTTATAATCTTACCCAAACCGTATTTAAGGTACTTTTATCTAAAAAGCATACTTGTGTTGGGCAATCACTTAATTACCAAATCTCTTAGATGGAATATAAGACCTACTGACTTGACTGATTAATATGGAGTGTATTAGAGGTCAAATATTCTTCTTCAGTTCTATAATGATTTTCTATTTAAGTCTTCAAATATTATATTTTAGTTCCCTTCCATAAGATGAGTGGCTCCTTGAACACCTTAGGCTATATTCTCACTTTGAAAGCATTCTGTTGCCAAAGTAAGAAACCTTTTATGGATATATACTACCCTTCCTTACTCCAAAAAGAAGGAAATCATGATTTTAAATGTTCATATGAAGTGTTACCTTATGGAGCTAATTTCAGTTCTACCATTTAAGAATTTTTCCCAAGAACTATTTACAGGATTTTAAATAATTATTTGAAAAAGGTTTTATAATTTGTGTTGTTCAATCAATGAGCCACAAATATGGGTTCACCAGAGAACATCTCTATTCCAATCCCTGAAGAATCTATTTCCCCATCTTTAGCATTTAAGGCGAGCAGATGGCTGATATCTATTACTCCCACTATCTATTTTCTCTCCTGAATGAGGAAAGAAATTGGATATTTAAATTATCCCTTACTCCGAATTATTCTCTTAAATCTAAAAGGTATTCCTCAATTTCAATTAACTAATTAGTGTATCATCCACCATTAATTAGATCTCTAATTGTGTGTTAATTTCTTTGAATTAGGTCTCACGTACCTTTTTGGACTAAAGAACTTTTTCATATTTTTTTCAAAGTCTCATATCATAAATTCCGTCAATTTAAGCTGCCGC